TTGCAAAGGTTTCATTTCTTTAGGTAGAAACCCTTATATGCTTCGCCATATTCGATTGAATTAACAACAACTTTTAATCCTCTTAATTGAAAACTTAAAGGCACCCTATTTCAGAAGTTCAGAAAATGCTGCCTATGAAATATATGAGATATGCTGTAATTTTTAAATTAAGTATTTAAGCACTTTCTGGTTATCTGATTTCCCTCTGAAAAGTCGTTGGAGAGAAATATTTGGGATCTTTATGTCTGTTTCAATGATGCATGAAGTGTTGCCTTTTTTATATCTTTTTCCATGTAAGACATACACAGTTCTCAGTTTTTGCTCTGTTATTCTTTCCATGTACACAGTGATCTGTTTCACTAAAAATTTCCATAGTTTCCGACATAAATTCTTCTCTTGCTTTAATTCCAAACTATAGAATTCAAATTTCATGGATCAAAGGACATAGTGGCCATTTTGGTAATGCTCAAACAGGTGACATAGCCAAAAAAGCAATTTTTAATCAAGATAGTTTTGAAATCATAATTCTAAGACCTTGTTCAAATTCCAAACATCAACTAAAATAGCTTGCTTCAAAGTATTGGCAAGATTTGTGGAATTATGCTTCACAGGGAAGAAATACATATAATTGATTCCCATTGTAAGCTCTGAATCTTTGCACACGAATCTTTCATTAAATTACCATATAACATCACATGGACCCTTCCCCACTATTATTTCTAGATAAGAAATATGACAAACTCTGACTTCTGTATATGTGGGGAACTGAGAACTTGATTGTTACAACTTTCTCATGCTCTGTAACTGAGGATAATCACAAAATCCTCGCAAACTGATCTGCTGGAATTCCAAAGGTTTCTAATTGAAGATAAATATCAGTATCCAAAGTGTCAAAAAATTATACAATGACTCTTGTTTCTATGGCCGAGATCTATTTAAGTGCAAGGTTCCTGGTGCTGTATAAATTTAATGAACTTTTACATCTGTAAATATGTTCAAAAGGATTTCACATATGAACTTTATAAACTGTAATAACCTGCTCCAGTATATTATTTTAAGTACCGTTTTAAAAATTGCTTTGGTCCCTTGTCAAGATTATTTTCTGTGTTCCTATTTTTGCATTCCCAAATCCCTGAGCTTTCAGACTCTAACTTTGTTTTATTTATTTAACTTTTTTGTTTTATTTATTATATTTAACTTTGTTTGTAACAGTGTTTTTTGACGTTTTTCTCAAAGAGTTTGACCATGTGGACACTTCTTTAGATGTAATTCAAGATGTATTTTATGCATGCTAATATATATTGTACATATTAGAGACACAGAAATTTCTTGAAATTGATGAAATTTTGTTTTTCAGATTTTGTTTCATTGAGTGGGGGCTCAAAATTACACACAAAGGTGCATCTGACCCATGGGGTGGCACTGGATAAAATTGCAACTGTGTTGTTTAATTAAAAGTTGAAAATGTAAAAAAAGGGGGGATTTGTGATTACTTAATTGCTTTGTCTATAAGCTAAATTATTTTTTTCTCTTTAGTTCCGTAATGATTTTGAGTTTTAAATAAAATCTTATTTTATAAAAACCTCCTTTTTTTGTCGTTGAAAAGGTTTTTTTTTTTTTTTTTTTTTTTTTTTTTTTTTTTTTTTTTTGCATGCATATTCAGCATTCTTCTTTTTACAGTAAACACGTATCGGGAATCTGGAAATTTTATGCTTTAAATAAATATTACTTTTGGTTGCATATCGCATTATGTTTTTAAAATCGATAGTGCTTAGTGATGTTAACTGCTGCTTGCCTGAATAATTTAATAATAAAAATAAATTATTCTCAAATGAATCTTTTTAAGAATCCATAGTTATATAAAAGTGTAAAGCTTTGAATCTGGTCCAGGATCACTAATTCAAAAAATAACAGTGACTTGCCTAATATGGTAATAATATGTGGCTCTAGACAGAAATCTGATAACTACTCAGAAATTCAAAAGAGCTATTTGCTTCCTTCTTCCATTTCTAAATACAGTAGAATTCCAGATACCCTATAATCCTTGCTCAATTTTTGAAGTAAATAAACAAAATTTCAAATTTTAGACTAATCAACATGGCAGGTTTCTTCCCCCTTACAAATTTGTAAATAATTTTTTTTAAACAAAATTACATTTTATTTATGACCTATTTGGAATGTTTTTTTTTATTAACTTTTAGTCTGGTATTTGTTGCTATAGTCAAAAGTTTGTCGTTGACTTTTTACTATTTTCCTATAAGCTAAATAGTTTAGATGGCAATGCAATGAAATGATTTTTTCAAAATTAGATTTCTAAAATTAAAATTTGAAATAATATTTCGTGCATATCATCGTTTAACGAACAAATTTAAGATATTGGTAACTGTTTGAGCTGTCACATAGAGGGAATAAAAAATCTTTTAAATGAAATTTTTACTGTAATTGCTGATTTTTGCCAAATTTTAAAAAAATCACTCAATTTTTTTGACTATTTGACGTAATTTATTTTGCAGTTTCAAAATCCAGAAATAAATTGGTTACAAAGTTTTGAAATTATCATAGAACTCTTCACCCTCTTTTAATAAAATAATAAGAAACTTAATTGAAGATTTTTCTACATTCTTTTCAAAAGAATATGCTACAATATGAAACAGAAGAGGATTCAATTTCAAGGTTCTGATATAATTATGTCCCACTATTTTTCTTGCTTTCACATCTCAAACATAATGGGATTGATTAGTGTTTAAATTTATTTGCCATAAAATCTATCACATCATTTTAAATTTTTTCCATTTCATAAATTTATAGTACAGTCAAAAGTCGTTAATCCGGACTCGTCGGGACTTCGGCGATTCTGGATTTTATCTCTATATCTTTTATCTTATTTATTCTGGATATTATCATTTTAAATCTGGTAAGATGGCATGCAGAAATTATAAAATTAAAAATATAAAAAACCATAATTTATGAAATAAAGAACAATTATGATCTAAAGGGTAACAAAATTTACAAAAAAAAGCTTAATATTTATTTGTTTTACTTTATTAAACATTTCTTTCAATGTAAGTTGTTTTTAAATTGCTTCATTTTTTATGTGATAATACATTCTCTTTAATTCTATAAACAGACATAATTTCTTGTTCAGTTACAAAGTTCTGCTGTTCAAGTCCTCTAATTGCTGTGTCGAGAATACCGACTAATTTGTCAATCAAAATTTTTTCATTTTCAATAACCTCTGTTACTTTCTTCGCTGTCGGAAGCAAATTATAACGACGAGGAATTTGATTTAAATCTTATCAAAGACGGAGTACATCGAGATGAAATACTACATTTAGTAAGGAATTATAAGCCAAATAAAATAAAAACATCTGCCCTGAAGATAAGGATAGTGCTGACAAATCAACTTCCAATTCATTGCGTGCCGCCGCGGCGTTAAAGATAAACAAAGTTTAGATGAACAAACGTTAAAGTTGTAGATAATCAAAGGATATGCCTTTATCCATTTTTTTTGCAGCAATTCCACTTTCTGTTTAATGGACTTCGAAACATACTTTCTCTTTGTAGATCCTTTACATATTAGTAAATATATATCAAATTTTATTTGACATAATCGAAAGTTCAAGCTTACTTTTATAAAATTTCTCTAACAGTCTGCAAAAAATAATAAGCCGAATCCAATTCGAAGATTAAGGAACAACACAATCTGCAACATTAACTGAATTAGATAATTTTAGCTTAGCTTATACCGTCCGTTATACATTAAACGTGCATTCGTAAACGTATATTGCGCACGCTCACACGCATATTCGCAGCCGTAAAGGTCTTACGTGACGCATGCGCAGAAAGTTTGTAGCTTTAAGGTCCGGATTATGGGTGTCCGAATTGATGACTTTTGACTGTATTCCTGTTTATTGGAACTAAAAATATGTTTTTTTTTTTAAATATATTATAAGATTAATGAATAACGACCATTTATTAGGAGTTCTCACATGCTGTATAAATTAATTTTACAAGTTTTAAATATTAGTACATCACTGTGATAAATGAGATTGTAAAAATAAGTGGCAACAGTTGTAGACACATTAAGTTATTTCAAAGCAAGAAAAATGAAAAATGAGCAATGTCCTCACCGGGCCTCGAACCACGGACCTTTTGAATACGTGTTGAGTGTGCTGACGCTGCACCACGAAGGCATGCTAAGAAGGTGGGAGAAATACCTTATATACTCCCCCTTTTAAAGGGCGACTGGGGTTTTAGGATCCCAGTCACCAAATCCTGGTGGTGAAGAATCATCATTTACCACCTTTTAGTTTGGATGCCACTGTAGAGACATTAGGTTATTTTGAAGCAGGAGAGATAAAAAAATTACTTGAACCACGGGCCTCTCGAATACACGTCGAGCGTGCTGACCACTACACCACAAAGCCATGCTAAGAAGATGGGAGAAATACGTTATACAGTAAGACAGAGTTCTAAAGATTTTTAAAATGTATGGAATTAAAAAAATTGTACTTTTTTTATAGAGTTGGATGAAGTGAATGTAATGTCCTATTATGTAGCATGAGAGTGTGAAATCATTTAGATGGAATATTAATTGAAGAACTGGACTGCTTGAAACTCACTGGAAAGGTTCCTTGCAATAATGAAGCATTACAAGAGATGGATAGAATGATAAATTAATAGACCATCATCAGCTTCATAACTTAGAAACGAAAAAATGTTAATAAAAAGTAAAATTTTTTTTTATACTTTTTTTTTTAAAATTTGAATCCCGTAACTGATTTTTGACTCTTCTATTCAGTCACATATGAAAATTCAGTTACTGTATATCTAAAAACCTTTTAATATATTTCAATATTTGAAATACAATTTTCTAGTAGTTTTCAGTTTTTCCTTCAACATCTTTTAGTGTTTGAATAAGTTTTCAGAAGTGTATGTATGTGATATAATTGCTATTTGTGTATTAAATAATAATCATGATAATCATTTTTCTTTTCTAGTAAATGAAGATCTAAAAGAATTACACATTCATTTATTAAGAAGAGGACGAAAAAGAGTTAATAAAGAGCGATGGGAAAAGTCCTTAATCAAAGTTAGTAAATCAATACATTAAAGCAAGAATTTATTTTTCATAAGTTTTTCCTTTTTTAGCTAGAAGTTTTAGTTCCCCCCAAGTAATTTTTATTTTCTAAACCTAGATTAATATGAAATTTAGCATTTATTTCAAATTTTAAAATTAAAATATTGAAGCAACCTATTTAAAATACAGGATGTGTATTTTAAATACTCAATGTAAATTTTCACATTAAATTGATGTGCTTTTGTCATTTATGAGATTTTCATTTTACGTTTTGATATTTCCCCTTCACTATCAAAATGGCTGTTCTATTTCAATAGATTTAGAATTTGCAGTATTTGTTAACAGTACCTTGAGTCAGTATTCTGTCACATTATATTATGATTTATATTTGTGGATTAACCTTTTTTAACAAAAGTAAATTACATAAATCCCTTGACTTGTGTCTAATATCTAATACAGTACAAAGTCTTTAATCCGGACTTGTCGGGACTTCGGCGTTTCTGGATTAGGGGTTTTTCCGGATTATAGATCATCAATTTAAATCTGGTAAGGTGGCATGCAGAAATTATAAAATTAAAAATATGAAACCATAATTTATGAAATAAAGAGCAATTATGATCTAAAGGGTATCAAAATTTACAACAAAAAAAAAAAAAAGCTTAATATTTATTTGTTTACTTTGTTAAATATTTCTTTCAATATAAGTTCTTTAAGTTGCTTCGTTTTATCTGCTAATACTTTCTCCTTAACTCTATAAACAGACATAATTTCTTGTTGAGTTACAAAGTTCCGCCGTTCAAGTCCTGTTAATTGCTGTACCGAGAATACCGACTAACTTGTCAATCGAGATTTTTTCATTTTCACTTACCTCTCTGTCACATTCTTCATGTCTTTATCCATTTTTTGCAGCAATTCCACTTTTTGTTTGATGGACATCGAAGCATGCTTTCGCTTTATAGATCCTTTGGCAGCTCCAGAATCGGAAACTCTTTTTGACATAATCGAAAGTTCAAGCTTACTTTTTATAAAATTGCTCTAACAGTCTGCAAAAAATAATAAGCCGGATCCATTTAGAAGATTAAGGAACAACGTAATCTGCAACATTAACTGAAATAGATAATTAGATAATTTTAGCCTAGGTTATACCATCCGTTATACGTTAAACGTGCATGCGTAAACGTATTATACGCATGCATAAACTCGTATGTGCATGTGTAAACGATACGCACGCGCAGAAAGTTTGTAGCTTTGAGGTCCGGATTATAGTCATTCTGGATTGTGGATGTCTGGAATAAAGACTTTGTACTGTGTAAATAATATGAGGACTTATTTCTTTATTAAGGAAAGATTTTTTTAAAGGTACGAGCCCTTTTTAATAAGCATAATATGCATAAAAAATTTCTTGTAAAATCGGCTTTTTTATCAAAACACCTTAATTTTCACAAACAAGTTTTAGAATATTTTTCTTAATGTGGGTTAAAAGATTCTATTTAATGCAATTAAAATGAAAAGTAACATAAAATTGGTGTGCTGCGTGAACAAAATTAATAAGTAACTACATATGACAATTTATGTCAGTGAACTTAGAAATTTAAAAAAAAATACTTGTATATACAAAATTCATGTACATAATACATTGTAGAGCATTTATATAGAGAAAAGCTATAAATATTTTATTGTATGATATAGTTCGAAATGCTAATCAATGCACAATCCAACATCACAAGTTTTGCATTCATATTGAGTCAGCTTTCGCTGATTGGTAATTTTTGAGTGAAATGTATACCTTATCTTTCCTTAATTCCCATTAACACATTTATATAGTTATGAGAAATACTGTCCAGCACGATGTAAAGGATTATTTCCCAAATGCCTAGTGTAGATTAATCTGTTTTGTTCCATTAGCTGGTGAATTAAGTTGCTTTGGAATTGTAATGATGGAATACTTTCATATTTATTTCTTTTGAATAATAGCTTTGCATTGAAAACAGTCATATCCAAAAAAGTGAAAAACAATTTTCAGTACTATTTCATCGTTTTTCTGAAAGCTGGATAGTGCTGCAGTATTGAATCTCTTTCATCAAATCTTCCCCATTTTTTTATTTTTGCCATTTATTATGCATTCTCTTTTAAGAATGTACTCTCATCTCTCTCTTTTTTTCCCAAATGACATTACATTTGAGTTATGTATTGTTATAAGTAATGTTACTTCTTTTTCTTATCTTTGAATGAGGGACTTTGAGAATATAAAAACACGTTAAAAATATTTTAATTTACTTGCATTTTTGAGTTTTGGAGAGGAAGAGAGAAATGATTGTCTAGCAGTGATGAAGGGTGTACGAGGTAAAAAATTTTGAGAACCACTGATCTGGGGGAAAATATGCCAGTATCTTCTTTTGTAATAAGAAGCTGAAATAAAATATTTTATCTTGATGTATTGCAATGTGTATTTATTACTTGGACTTGTATTTTATTTCAGTATGTTTTATGCATAAATTACACAAGCCTTTAAAATACAGTGAATTAGTATTACAACATTTCCTGTGACATATTATTGATTCTTATTACAGTTTATAAACTTTATAGCCTATGAACTATCATTATCAAGGTGATATATAATTCTTCTTCTTAATTAAATAGTTTATAATTATTTAATAATATCCTCAAATATGCTGTAACAATGTCCTAAAAATAATATTGTAGTAATATTTTTAAATGTAGAAAGCCAGCAGTTATACATGCTAAACTTACCTTTTTATTAATTTTTTTGTAAAGTTAGAATACTATAAAATAGAAAATTGTTCATTTGAACAAAACTAATAGCAGATTTCTGCATTTTTGTGTATTGCTTTTTATAAATTATCTGTTTTCCATGATCTATGTACCAATGCCAGTGTCTCAACTGAAGAAAAGGAAAAAAAGGTTAAAAATTGGGTACTTTTCCATTTTGTCGGCGCAAGCGATAAAGTCGCCAAAAATGGTACAACCAATGCCAAACGGAATATTCTCGCTGGTAACCTTTTACGCCACATTTTCAAAACAAGTCGCAGCCACTTTTTATCAGATTTGTTGCAAATATGGCTTATTGTAACCTCTTTTGCATCATCTCTCCTCCTTGAAATAATTCTAACTTTTACATGAGGTTTAGTTTTTATTTTAAAGCGATTTTATTTTATAGCAATTTTTTTCGTACTTCGTTTTCACCCCAACTGTTTGTATTATGAACGGACTGTTCCAGCTTAATTAATATGCAAAGACATGTATAAATATCTTGCATCGTTCTTGTTCACTAGTCCTTCTTGTTCCTGTTTCCATTGCTCTTTGGGTGTTGTTCCAGCTCACATTTAGAGACGTTCTTGTGAAGCGTTTCGTCCAGCGTTGAGTGGCTCTTCAGTGCCGCGGTTCCGGGCCATGTTTGTTTTCCTGCATTCCGCAAAGCGGTGATGTATTTCAAGTTGTGGTTTCTAGTGAGCAACTGCTGTGTGCGGCATCTTTTCCAAGGTTAAGCAGCGATGTTTTTCAAGCTGTGGTTTCCCGTAAGCAACTGCAGTGAGTGGCATCATTAACAAAAGTGTTCAAGGTTAAGCGGTGATATATTACAAGTTGTGGTTTCCTGTGAGCAACTACTGTGGGCGGCAACTTTAACACAAGTGTTTACCAGGTGTAGCGGCGATATTTTGTCAAGCTGTGGTTTCCCGTAGGCAACTGCGATGAGTGGAATCTATAAACTCAAGTATATTCAAGGTTTAATTTTTTTTGGCCAAAAGCATAGACCTATTTAGTCAAGTGAAATTCACATTAATCATGTAGTTTTTGTTCTGTGATATGTTTTACGCGAGTTATTGAATGCCAGTATTCATAGAACAGGTAATATGTTTGTTGTATCATTAATAGTGTAATATTCGTAAAAGTAAAAAAAACCCTTGGGGTTTAATGAATAGTTAACTAAGTGCACTTTTTGGCAATGATTATGTTACAATAACTTTAAGTTTCAAGTATTTATCAAATCTATTTATTGTATTTTGATTTTTATATATATTGTTAATAAATTGGTAAAATTTAAAACTTTTGTCATCCATGTCTGCATAATACATAATCTTAGGGTATTTCTTCTGCTATAATTATTTCTGCTAAATGTTTTCTATAACCTTAAACTTTGTTTTTGCATCAAGATTGATTGTTTCTTTCAATGCTGGCATACAATTACATAGAATTTTTACCAAATAGTTCAATTTTATGCTCTAAGGCCATTCGTGGTAATTAAGTGTATTATGATGCAATCACACCGCTCACTCAAAGGCAAAAATATAGAAAAAGCAAAGTCAAGGGTTAAATTCATCAATTCTAATGAGAATGCACTAGCAAAGTAAAGCATTGCGGTTTTACATAATTTCTAAGTAAGGTATTTGTACAAATTTAAATAATTCTTGCATTTAAACTTTTACTCCAAATTAAGATTTAACTAGAAATTAATGTAGGTAATTACTGAGAGAATTAGATTTTTGTAGTTTAGTTTACATGAGATGAGATCACTTCGGGTCACGTGGTATGAAATGGCGAATCAGGATGTTGTACCATGAAAGCATAGTAAATTCTTAAATTAATGTCTTTTTAAAAATTTTAAATGATATTAAAACGTTTATGCTTTCAAAATAAAAAAATTCTTAGAACTAACATTTGTTAAAATTTTTTTTATGCGTATACTGTGTGTTGTCGCCAATAAAGTCTGCTTGGCGAGGTTTGCACTGACGAAACGGAAAAGTACCAAAAATTGTTTAATGTTTTAAATCTTTGAAATATAGCTCATAGTGACCTCAAAGTATTCAGAAAATGAAGAATAAGAAATGAAACCATATTCAGAAATAGACATGTGCAGAAATATAATAGAATGAATAAGTGTGCATCTTATTAAAGTAGTAGCATAACTGATGTTGCTAACTGGACAAATGAAACATTTCATCCTCTTGTTAATGAGTGTGTTATGTAAAAGTATGCAACATGCTAATTTAAAATGACTCAGTATTTAGCAACCATAGGTTAAATTCCAAACATTGCATTTCATATTGCATGGACTAAAAATGGTGAAGAAAATACAAATTAACTTCTGCTGTTTTAAAAAAGTGTGCAGATTTAAAAAATTCTGGTTCACAAACATATGCAGCGATATTCATAAACCAGTTTTTCTGAAATTTCTGAGAACTAGTATCTGTGCTGTGTTATCATATCAGATTTAAACTTTTTTCCCCCATTTTGCATATTAATTGTAGTGAGAAGTTGTTGATTGTCAGAATTATAATGTTCAACATATTAATGAGACATCAGGCAATGATTAACCATGGAACTGTTTCTAATCCCTAAGCTCATTTGTATATCATATAACTACACATAAGTATGCATATTTTATAAATGTTTTAAATTATAAGTACATATATGGATAATGATAAACTTGCATGTATTATAATATTGTGCATAAGTATATTCATTTCATCAAAATAAATGTAAGTTACTTTAAAGGCGATTAAGTCAAAAATGAAAGCATGTGTAAATTATAATGTATTCAGGATAGTACTGTAGAAGAGTAAATGATATGTTTTTTAAAACTTATTTTTCTCCCCAAAATTTAGTTTTGCCATGAGTATTCAAGTGTGGATGCTTGGGAATTGGAACGGTTTGGATACAAAAAGGCAAAGCTTTCTGTGAAATTAGAACTTTTGAAGGTTTGCTATTTTATTTATATTAAATTACTTGCCATGATTTCAAAATATTATCTGTAACAAATGTATAGCATTTTCATTTCGTTCTTTTAAATTTTGTGTATTTTGTTAGAGTAAATCTTGGAAGTAAAAATGATATGTGATTTCTTAAAACTAGGTTTTTGCTTTATTTACTATAAGTGCTAATTATAAAATACTATATTTTTCTCTTGCATGTTGTTGCTTTTTTAGAACCGGGCTCTTAAATTTTGAAAAAATATTCATGTAATTTTTCCTTTTTCCAGTGCTTGTTCAGAGAACAATCTTCCCTAAATTTTAAAAGGAATTCGTGCATGTAGTGATTATTTTCATCTTACTAACTAAGACAAACTCTCGCAAATTACTTGCGAAGGTCATGTCAAACTTTCCTCTTCTAACTGTTGAATTTTATGCTAGCCTAAATGCCTATTCTAAAATCTTTGACTTTTTGGAAGATGTTGCAGCAAGTTCTGAAGCACTGTAGTGTATCTGGCAAAACAATTGTAGAGCAAATGTGATGTGTTCAAAATAAAATCATCATTCAGAATGATTTTGTTTCAGTTTCAATTTAATTTCTATTGGTTAATAATTATTATTGGCTAAAGTGTTTACATAAGTGTCAGCATCACTGAGCATTATGCAAGAATCATATGACAGTGATTAATTTTGAAATGATGCAGTTTAGAGACATTTATTATGAGAAAAATTTTAACAATAATTTAACTATTTAGTTATTAATCACATTTAAATTTAATAACCTTCCCTAAATAAAATGTTTGAAAAAATATTTTAATGCATTAATTTATTCAACATGGTCATTATAAAGTTAATTTGCAATACCAGAAAAGTTTAATTTGTTATTTTTATTAAAAAAGCATTATGTATTCAAATTTTGAAATAGCAATAATTATTATTAAGTTTCTATTCTAGAAAACATTTTAATTTTTAATGAACAGATTAGTTACTTCATAATGTAAAAATCTTTTGCACACTTTACTAACAAAATACAAAATGAACCAGTAAAATACCAAATACCAAAACATTAAATGAATTTATCAGAATAATTTAATTAATTTTTTAATTATATATATATATATATATAATTAACCTAAATAATCAAATCCAAATTTGTAGAAATTTAAACAAAAGTGCTTGTCGAAAAATCTAAAATTTATTGTACATATGTCACTTTTGTTTCATTGATAATAAACACAATTTAATTCACTTGATGATAAATGTAATTTTGAATGTTGGTTGACAAAATTCAATAAGAAGAAGTGAAAAAAAATATCTCGCTAACAGTTGAAAGCATTTCTTGTAAACAGACTGATAACTTTTAAAGCACTGGAATGCTCATTGATACTTTTGCATTATCTGCCCAGCACACCCACAAAATCACCAGTTGTTAACAATTCCTTTTTTACCAGTCTAACCTGAGAAGAAAGTTGCTATTTTCATAAAATGACGTTGAGCTGAAAATTACATAAAACAGCAATGAATTAGTGAAATTAAAAACACAAGAAACATTCATAGTGAGACGGTAAATATTGCATAAAACAAACATTCATAACAGAGCACTCAAAATTTCCCCCCCCCCCCCCCCCCCCCCCCCCCCCCCCACCCCCCCCCCCCCCCCCCCCCCCCCCCCCCCCCCCCCCAACCCCCCCCCCCCCCCCCCCCCCCCCCCCCCCCCCCCCCCCCCCCCCCCCCCCCCCCCCCCCCCCCCCCCCCCCCCCCCCCCCCCCCCAAAATGGTTGCAACACAAAATAAAAATACACACATAAAAATAAAACACCAAAAAAAAAAAATAAAGCACTTTCTGTTTTCTTGGATTGTGTGCATAGGGAGATATTTTAACTTAAAAAAGAAGGAGAATTGGTATTGGTGAGCAAACTAGCACTGCTGTTCATGTACACAATTGATCTATTTTGACTTCAAAAAAACTTAGGAGAATTGCTTTCATTCAGGGGAGAGGACAATTTTTTTGATATTCTTTTTTTCATATTAGACGCACAGACTTCTTGCAGGTAATGGCATCAATCAGTAGTTGTGGGAGACATATCGAGACAATAAGAACTGTAAGAATGAGAAAACTTACCAGATCTCTATTCTTTAGACCAACAATAAATATCAATTTCCTGCTCACATTCGAACACTTTGCTCAAAATCTTTAACAGTGCATTTTCATACAATTTGCTTTATGGGAATGCCAGAATGGCACCCATGATGTGCTGGCACAATATGTATGCAACCATTAGTAGATCGCCAGAAAAAGTACATGTTCGTTATGTTCTGTGTTGTCTACTTTGGTTAACTAATGATGATTCTCTTCACCAGTGGGTGGATAATACAAAAGTACCCTCTCATTAATTCACTTTGCTATAAACATGTGGAATGAATTTTGAAGCTGTAGAACACCTGCATTTTTAAAACATGTATTTAACCACAGATGATGGAAGAGAGCATTTTTTTTTTACTTGGGCATTCAATTTGTTACACAAGAATTTGAATATCTGTAGTGTTTTATTATGAATTATTAGAAAATAAAATTAGTATGTATGGCATTGAAGAAATTGAACTTTACAGATCGAGCAAACATTCTATGATAAAGTTCCCACACACATCCTGTCATACATATATTAACTTTTTTTTTTTTTTTTTTTTTTTAAAGAAGGTGAAGAAGTTGATTTATGTTAAACTAAGGTTGCTTTTTTGCCTAAATTAAACGTTTACATTGGTTCCTCTTCCAGTTTGGTTAATATAAGTATGTTAATTATATCATTGACATGACACTTATATCCATTAATGACTGTAGTTAACTATGGTGCAAGTAAACATGCTGTTACATTAGTTGATTTCCGTTAAAGGGACTTTCTCTCTGTGCAGTTATTATTGCAATTTATGTGTACCTTCCAAAGTTTCTGAAATGTATGGTGTGCAATTAATGCATAGAGAGGTTTAGAGGACAAAACAAAAGGAGAAAAAAATATCACATTTATGTTATTGCTGTAAATCATGATGTAATGAAGTTTAATTGATTTCAGTTTTAAATCCAGTAATAATATGAGTTACATATCATTTAAACTTACTATACAGAAAATTGTGTAAAATTATTGTTGTTTAAAATAGTGCTAGTTTTGTTTCTGAAATGATATTTTATGTTTTCTGGGTTTAGCGATTACTTGAGCTACAGTTTGACAGCAATGCTAAATTTAAAGGAGAAGTAAATAAGCAAGATGCACAGTCTCTACGTATTCTTCCTATTGGTCGAGATATTGATGGTAATATGTATTGGTATCAATTAGATAAAGAACATAATATGAGATTATATCGACAAGAAGTTGGAGAAGAAAATGTTTGGCAACTTTTATGCTCGTAAGTTAATTTTGGTGTACATATTGAGTTCAATAATGGCATTAAAATAAATTTACTTATTGCATTTGTTAATAAAATTTCTGTGTAAAATGAGTAAAATTCTTCTTTTTCATTGCCACAGTTTAGAAAAAGTGATATACAGAGTAGTTACAAGAGTATCTATTTCAAAACAATTCTGGTAGATCCATTTCATTAAAACTTGATATGTGCTTTATCTGGACCATCGTAAAAAGAAAACGGCAATAAAAATTAATAGTTCAAATTTCGGCCACTAGGTGAAAAGGGAGGCACATAAAGGACAGAACATACAAATTTTGGGGGAAAAAAAGCTGTATTTAATCACAGCATTTGTTCAATGTGCATTCCATTTGCATCAGATGTTCAGAGTGTGTTATAGCATGTTCAACAGTAGTGCAAGGGATTTCTCGATCAGTTGCAGCAACGACTTGTTATGCTTGCTTTCAATTCAGGCAAAGTCCATATGGTTTCTCCATAGACATGATGTTTCAGGAACTTCCACAACCTGAAGACACATGAATTTAAGTCTGGAGAGCAAGGAGGTCAAGCAGTTGGAAAGCTTTTCAGAATTACCCAGTATGAGGTGCTGCACCATCTTGCATGAAGATAGTAGTCCCTAATCATTCTCATTTTTTGTAAGACAAAAATGAGTTGTTGCTGAAGAAGCTCATAGTAACAGGCACCTATGATGAAACAACTTTGAGGGCCTTGAGTGTTAAAAGAACTAAGATTGAAATCTAAAACCGCACCATATAGTAATGTAATCAAGATGAAGAGAATGCCATGCACCACATTGGGATTTGCAGTACCCCATATGTATTGAGTATTAATTGTTTCATCTAGAGTAAAATGCAACTCTTCCAATCACAAAATGTTCCTAGGCCAAGTACTTTCAATAGCTATTGTGGCCAAAAGAAGGTTAGAAATATCAGTATATTTGTCTGGGTCTCCAGGATGCAACTCTTTCAGAATTTGGATTGTGTGTGGATATCACATTACAGTGGGTTTCGTAACCTTCTGTATTGTTGAGCAAGGGAAAGACAAATTATGTGACACTATTCGAACATTCCTCAAAGAATATTTGGAACCGGATGCTTTTTCAACCATGGCAAGAGAGACTTTTTTCCCGTTTCATTTGAAAATAATTTTTCTCTTTCTTGCAACACACACAACTACGCAGTCAATTCTGATTTATTAATCATCTTTTTCCAACCGGATCTCAGCATAGCCATTTTCATGTACTGATATTCTAGCAACGCATTTGAAAAATACTGCCATTCTGATAATACAATGTGATCAGTAATACTTGATCTTTATCTGTAAAGGCATGGTAAAGAACGGTCTGCATTGATGACTGTCCTTTTAAAATGCTCCAGATTTGAATACTGTTTTTCCTACATTGCATAAAAAGTGCCATCTGTCAAGAAAAGTTTGAACTATTAATTTTTATTGCAGATTTTTTTTCTCTGCGGTCCACATAGCAATTATACTAAGTTTCAATGAAATAGATCTACCAAAACAGTCTCTACATAAGTCTAAATAGGGTACTTTTAATTATAACCACCCTGTATTTCTATTAAGATGAAGAAATTTTTTTAAATGACTAATTTTTTATATTTTTCTGATCAGTTTGAATATTATTTAATTAAACAGTCTGATAGATTCCGTATTATATTTACGGTAACCCTTTTTCCAACTTGAGGAGTTTTGTAATATGTAATGTTATTCAGTGTTATGTAAATCATTTGTACTTTGATCAGATTTAGCAGGGATAGATTATTTTATAATAGCAGTTTTAGGAAATATTGCATGAAAAAAGTAAGGGAAAAGAAAATGCTATGGTAAAGCTTTTTATAAAAATTTGATAAATAAGAATTGAATATTTAGCAGAAGATGCAGCATGCATCAAATCAAAATTTTATTTAATAGGGGGACCAGAAAGTAATGTTGCCTTCTTACATTAAATTCAAACGAATACATTTTTAACAAGTTTTTATTTTTAATCAGTAATATAATCACCCTCGTTATCAACAACCTTTTGCCATCTAATATGCAGATTTTCAATTCCAGACTGATAAAAATCAATTGGTTTTTGAGTAAAATAATCTCAAGAAGGACATTTTGGACATCATCCAAATTTTCACATTTTTTGTCACTACGAAAATGTAGGGATCCAAATAAATGGAAATCCAATGCTGTGATATCGGCCGAGTATGGTGGGTGAGTATGGCAGTACCTCCCCCAATTCATTAATTTTTCCAAGTGTTCGTCTTGCACAGTGTGGTCTTGCATTGTCGTGTTGTCGCCTTTTCTGTTGACAATTGCTATTTTTTGATTAAAGATTAATTGGTTCACTCCATCCAATTGTTCACAATAAAGGTCTGCATTAACAGTTTTTCCAGGTTTCAGTGATTCAAAATGAACAATTCCATCAAACACCCAGAAGCGCCTTTTCGGGATGTCCCTTTGTAACCCCTATTAAAACTGCCTTTTGAGTTTTGGATTATCATATAGGACTTATTTTTTGTCTCCACTAACGGTTCTGTTTGGTGCCGTTGAAGCAATACGTTGCATGTGATGGATAGGTTGGCTTTGTTCTTTTCGGACAGATTATGGGGGACTCAAACACCTGCTTTGCTTATTTTTCCATTCTGCTTTAAATGTTCTTGGATGGTCGACCAAGGTTGGTTAAGAGTGTTTGACATGGGTTTGCTTCCACTTCTGCCCTTAGCATGTTCTTGTTGACATGCGCAGAAACGACATTACTTTCCAGTCCCCCTATTACTAAGCATATAAGAATTTTTAGTGCATCCTTTTCTTTTGAGGACTAATGTAAGATTCTTTTACATAGAACTAATTTTGATTTGTCTTTTGAGCTTCTATTCTGTTCTCTAAACAAAATCTTCTGAAACATATTCTCTGAAGTTATACCATATGGATATATGTTATTTTCCAGCAAATCTTTCAAGTATTCTTTTAGATTTAAGAAGGAAAATGGGAATATGTAGCTATTTTGACCCATTATGTAACATCTAGAACTTCACAACGTCTGTAGTACACTTGGGTTCTTTGTCCTTTGGAATTAATAATTGCTTCCCTTAAAATTTCACTGCAAGATATTTAAATAATTTTGTTGATAATGGATTCACTAAATTCCATGAGCTGCATGTGAAGTTTTTTAAAAACAAGTTTGTGTTCTTTAATGTGAAATATGTAGAATTTGCTTTCATTTAAAAATATTACTTGTTTTGAATTTACTGAAGTTTATTCATTTTGGAAATGAAAAGTTTTTGGTGTGGGGGGCAAGGACTCAGCCATAGTATTTATTTATATTTTTGAGATATAATTGACTTGCTTTTTTTTTTTTTTTTTCTTTTTTTTTTTTTTTTCAGACTTTACTTCATTATATTTTGTTATTTTAAGATACAGTTAGGTGGGATTTACTTTGATTGCTGTGGTTACACTTTGATTTTCCTTATTTACTGAATTGAAAAAAAGTACAGAAAAAATAATAGTATTAATTTTCTTTAAAGCTCATGTAATAGTTTTTTTGCATTAATATGATTTTTTTAATACTTGTATTCCTAATTTTAATTTATGTTGTTGAATTCCTCTTTTTTACCTTTTTGATCTTACAAATATAGGAGATAATGCATTTTTTAATGTTATTTAAATTTTAATGCAGAAATGTATCTTCTTTGAATTTTTGCATATTTTTTATGTGTTATCTTTCCTTTATTTATTTAATTATTAGAACGAAAGAAGGCTTGAAAGACCTTGTTACATCATTAGAAAGAAAGAGTGGCAAATTTAAAGATGAAGATTTATCTAAAGATGAGCCACTTGAATCCAAAACATTACCTGAAGTTATGGATGTAACTGTGCCTAAAAAAGGTAACAACAGTATTCTGTAATTATTATGCTGTAAATAAACAATATATTAAATCAATGAAATGTAACTTTTCCATGCTTTGTAAAAGCTGATGAGATGATAAAACACTTATCAAAATAAATTTTTAACTTTATAATTTGCATTTTTTTATTTTCTGTTTCCTGTAAAACAATTTGATTATTAAATTATTTGGGTCTGAATTCTCTAATACCAGGCATGTTTTGTGACATGCTGGTTGTGACAAATTGTAATGAGCTTAGCTAACAAATTTTTGATGGAAAAATATGTTGAATATACATTAGTAGAGTTAATATTACATTAGTAGAGTTACCATATATAGATATATATAGAACTAAAAAAGACCTTTGTGGTCAAAAAATTTGTGCATTGAGCTGCAAAATTTAGAAAACAAGTTCAAAGAAAGTTCTAGTGCTTGTGCCAAAAAGTTGCTTAGATACTGTGGTTCCGTTGACAATTCTAACATAAGTAAAATAAAGTGCAATGAAAGGTGTAAACATACAATTGTAGTTAATGAATGACTGTGTAATGTAGACTGTTTAATAAGGCATTTTAAAATTAAATGAAAATAATATGTCTATGTTAATGTCAATTATTTACATTTTTAATCATTTACAGTGTCAAAATTAATTTAGTAAGAAATTTATGTGTAATATATTATAACCAATAATTTATGTATTATACAAAAGCTTCACTCTTTGCTCAATATAAAAGTGTAAGAAAATTTTAATATTAAATTAGCCAAAAAACATAAAATTTGGAGTATCTAATTAAATACTAATTATTTTATATTAGAATTGTATTACATATAGTTGGAATAACATGAATTATTCATTATAACTGAATTTAAGTCAGTTTAGAGTTCATGGGAAATGGTATCACCATACAACATGAAACCGTTCTGAGTTTCCCAGATAATCTGGATTTTAAGATTTCAAGGTTTGCAGCTGTGTCATTGATTCTCTTTAAAATTTCATCGACCTGCAGGGTATCAATACTATGCTGTTGGGAATCTCTGATTTAGATGACATTTGGTCTTATAACTATGGGATTTATATTTGTTTTTAGCATTTATAAACTATGAATTTTAAGATTTTTAAATTTAATACAGTTTGAAGTACATATTGAACATTTCATCTTTCTTTTAGTTATATATATATATATATATATAATCTATTTATAGACCAAAGTTGTGAATGTTCAAAGAAATTAATTTTATTTTCAACTAATTCCTCTTTTCATCCAAAAGGAAAAGTTCTTAAACCATACATGCTATGTATAAGTTTAATTTATTTAGTACTGCATAAAGTATTAGTATTTATTGGTCTTTTTTGCAGTAGCATGCTTTAGTCTGGATCAATGATTTTTAGTAAGATTTATGCTGGAGTTATATTAAAATCATACTGTAGTTACCAATTCCTTCAATCTTAACATTGTTATGAAAAAAAAAAAAAAAAAATTGTTACTGGGTGGAACATTCTTATGGAGAATCTGAAAATGCAGTGTGAGGAAAAAAAATTATGGATGTTAAGACCCTGGCAGTCTGATATTTGCTTCAGTGTACTGTTACAGTACAAAGTCCAAAATCCGGACTCGTCGGGACTTTCGGCGATTCCGGATTTGGGATTTTTCCGGATATTAGATCAGCAGTTTAAATCTGTTTATGGCATGCAGAAATTACACAATTAAAAATATGAAATCGTAATTTATGAAATAAAGAACAATTATGATCTAAAGGGTATCAAAATTTACCAAAAAAAAAAAAAAAAAAAAAAAAAAACTTAATATTTATTTGTGTATTTTATTAAACATTTCTTTCAATGTAAGTTGTTTAAGTTGTCGGGTAAAGTGCAGAATCGCCCACTTATTTGTTTGACGCTTTTTACAAGAGTAAGAAGAATTGGATATTTGTCAATTTTATTTGACTTTTTAAGTGAAATTAGGTCGATGTGTACATGGATAAAGTCAAGGGAGTGCATAATGCCATTTTTGTGCAATTCTGGGATGTGTTTTTAAGTGAAAAGGGGTTGATGTGTACATGGATACCAAGTATGTACAATTCTTAAAAACGTGCCAAACAGTGGGTGATTCTGCACTTTTCCCTAAGTTGCTTCCACAAAAGTTTGAAAAGTTTCTTTTTCTTTTTTCTTATGTTATATACAGTCGACCTTCCTAATGCCATACTCCTTATATAATTTTGAGACGGATATGCCTTTATCCATTTTTTCGCAGCAGTTCCACTTTTTGTTTAATGGACATCGAAACATGGTTTCGCTATGTAGATCCTTATGCAGTCCCAGAATTGGAAACTCTTTTCGACATAATCGGAAAGTTCAAGCTTAATTTTTATAAAATTGCCGTAATAATAACAGTCTGCAAAAAATAATAAGCTGGATCAAATTAAAAGATTAGGGAGCAGCGCAGTCTGCTACATTAACTGAAATGCCTTAGAATCAGTAAAGATAATTTTAGCCTAGCTTAATAGCATCCGTTATACATTATTGTCTGTGTATCACAAGAATGGCGGTGGAAGCCAAGTTGTTTCGCTAAATTTTGTCTTGCTCCTACTGCGTACTGAATTAAGCCTGAATTGTATTAGTTAAGTTATTTACTATACCTACATTTATTTCTTGCACGTGCTTAAAACTAATCTGAGTCCTGAATAAATAAACTCCCACATATACTTAGGTGCTAGATACCGCCTGGTGCAGTCTCAACAGGTCCTAAATTATGCTACAAAGCGCCTTCATAAGTTCTAAATTTTCACTGTGCCTAAACTTTGGATCCCAGATGCTTTCCCTAAATCATTAAAAACTTCTCATCTCTTAATTTTTCCGCTCGGTGCTTCCCCAAATTCCAAAAATTTCGTCTTCCCTAAATTCTGACGTCCGGTGCCAACATATTCTGCCGCTGCTTCTGGGCTTATAGTGAATAACATCTCAGTTATTCTTAATTAAAATAGCACTAAATGTAATCTTTTGGCCTATGAGTTTCATTAACAAAATCTTTTTTTAGCATATGAAAAGAAATTTCTTCGTCAACATTTCTTAGAGTATTTAAAAATCTATAATCATCGCCAAGTGTAATGTTAGCATAAAAGGTTGCCATACTCTTGTTATTCGATTACTAATATATAAAAAAAAGTTTAGACATCACTGCATGAGTTATTACTGAAGCTGTCATGTATTGATAAACATACGGTGATGAAAGCAAAATGTAATAAATAATGACTCGCCAGGTCGGCTTCAGGGATATAAAATAGGTAATTGTGGTTTGAGATGTATTCCAAGTAGATACTCAACTACGAAGCCAAATTATTTATTAATCTTACAAATTTATGCTTACATGTTAGTTTGAAATGTATCCCAAGCAGATACTCAACTACAGAGTCAAATTATTAATCTCACAAATTTATGCTTACATGATTGTTTTTCCAAAGCGAGGTATTTTATTAAGTGAAATTAAGAATTGGAATTTTTAAGTGAAAATCTCCACACGTTTTATTATGGAAGGAAAAAATCAAATGTGCATGTATAAAGCATACAATATATATATATATATATTTCTGTGGCTTTGAGGTTCGTATTTTAGATCATTTCAGATAATGGACGTCCAGATTTCAGACTTTGTACTGTAGTAATGAGAATGTGCCCAATAAAATAACTAGCCGTAACTGTTGCAATATGCTCCCTACCATTTGTTGTACATTTAGACAGTATAACTTAGCCAGCCGTGGACAAGTATGAGAAATATTTTAAAAACTGGAAAAAAAAGAAGGGGGGAATTGCTAAACATTTTTATTTTCACTTTCATAGGGTTTGCATCCTTCAGATACTTTTTCACAACATTTTCTATTGTTACAGAAACATTTATCATAAGATGAGACAATTTTATGCTTGTGTGAGCGCAAGTAACCAGAATTATTTGTAAAAACAGATGATGCACTTTTTAATGTTATCAATGATTTTCCTGCAAGTGTCTAAACCAGTTCTTTACAAAATTGTGTCGGAAAACTTGGGCTATAAAAAGTTGTATTCATGATGGATTTTGAGGATGTTTACTGACAGGATACAAAATTAAAGAACTTCCCAGTTCATTATGGAGACATGGTTGTGTGATGTGACTCTGAGCAGTCTCTAATAAGGTACCACGTGTCATGTTCTGTGAGAAGGAAATTCAGACAGACAGTTTGCCAGTACATTTCATTCCACGGGGAAGCAACAATAAACATTGCTGCGTAGTGTTGGACTTTGGGAAAATTCCACCATGCAACCCAGCATATGCCATGGCATCCTGTCTATAGGAGTTTTGTTGCTTTACAACAATGTTAAGTCCTACATTGTTATCCATATGCAAGCAGAACTCTATGATTGATGGAAATTTATTTTTCCCCGTTACTTCAGAGTACCTTGTACAGTTCTGCAGATTTCCAGTACACTTTGTACTTGGTTCATAGAATATATCTTCACTGGGAAATGTTTAAATATGTCTTAATCTTAATTCTATATTAATCAGCTCATTTTAGCTATTTTTCACATTGAAACTGCTCATCTTTTTCTATATGCCAAAGCCTGTTTTTTCAGTTATCATCTGGAAATATTCCCTTAATTAGGGAATAGTTTTCCCCCTCGCTCTTTCTGTCTGTGCCCATCTTGGTTTATGCAGCATTATGTTTTCTGTGAGTTTTTTTACACTTCAGACTTTATTCCACTGTTTCCATGATATTTATGAGAAGGGAAACTGCCTCATATAATTTTACACTAAAGGGTGATACTAGAATTTTATCACTAAACATAATTTACAGAACATCATTAAAATCATGTTTTTAAAAAGTTAAATAATTACCTTTTGCAAAGCTAATTACTTTATTTATTATGGACTCATATATTTTTGTAGTTCCCTGTTAAAATTGAGAGATTTTAGAAACATAATACAACTTCTGAAAATTGAAACATTTATGGATTTTCGTACATAATGTGTTAAAATTAATATCAGAACTGAATTCTGAAGCTCCAATAAGGAAAGAATGAAGGACAGTCTTTATAATGAGTAAGAATATGTCTCATAAGCTATTTATGAATTCTGAATTCTTCTGTAAAGCTGACTGAGTCATTTCATTTACAGATTAAGTCCAGGACTCTTCACTATCTATTGTATTTTCTTATTTTCTAATTATTGGAAGGGGGAACTCACCACAAGCAATCTAAATTCTTAACTCCTACTTTAATTTTGATGTATCTATTCTGACATCTAACATTGTATACTAGGCATGAAAAAATATTCCCTTAATTATGAAAGAGAAGAACATAAAATAAAATGTTATCGAATAACCAAATAATGTATTATCTGTCTCCAGACAGCAGGTCTGTAACACAGCTTTCGGAGGCCAGTTTCTTTTGTATTTTAACAATATGCTATCTTATTAAAAAAAGGGGAGAAAGGGGGTAAAATGATAAATTTGATAAAGTAAATAAAATGAAACAAATAGCTTATGTTATAAAAATAAAGAACTGAAAAATTACTATATAAATACTGCTTGCGAGGAATTTCACCTATTATTGACCTACTAACATTCTTTATAGAAATGTGTATACATGGTGTCTATCTTTTAAAATAGGATTTCTTTTACTGCACACATGTGGCATTCATTTTAAGCAAATTCACATGTACTGCATATATGTACCAGAATTAATCTGGTACATAATCTAAAGGTAAATTGTTTTTATTCCTTTGATATAATGCTTTCTAATATTTGTAATAGAGGCTTTTAGTTTAACTGTTTGTTTTGTTGCATTACCTTAACACATAGTCTGACAATAAAGCTCGGTGAATATGTTTGTAACAAAAATATTCTTGCATAAATCAGAAAAAATGTTTTGTATTCCTTTGAAGTAATGCCTATTATTTTCAGTGTGCTTTTCACAATGACTATACAGTTTCTAAAAACTGAAAGGCAAAGTTCTCTTTTGGTATCACATGAAAACCCTCCTCACATGGTTTTGAACATCTGGAGTGTCTTACAATTCTTCTCATTTTAAGGCTTGTTTCAGGTTCAAGAATAGAAAATGTGCTGAAACATGATTAGGTAATGCGGTGGTTAACTAAGATCTACATCTAAACTGTTTGAGTGAAACCAAATGTGGCCAGGCGTTATATGAAGAAAAAACCAAGAACGCGAGAAATCACCACATTTTGCCAAACTTGGCCATATTTTGGTACAACCCTTGTGTAATTTGTGACAGCTCTCTATCACTATGTAACTGTAATCATATCCAATGCTATTCAGCTATATCTCTATAATTTAAATTTTTCATTTAATGATTTTCATAGACGTACCAAGCTTCAAAATTCATCTGCTGTTTCTACCTTTGTATATTAAAGTACAGTCAAAAGTCGTTAATCCAGACTCGTCGGGACTTCGGCGATTCCGGATTATCGATTTTTCCGGATTATAGATCATCAGTTTAAATCTGGTAAAATGGCATGCAGAAATTATAAAATTAAAAATATGAAACCGTAATTTACGAAATAAAGAACAATTATGATCTAAAGGGTATCAAAATTTACAAAAAAAAAAAAAGCTTAATATTTATTTGTTTACTTTATTAAACATTTCTTTCAATGTAAGTTGTTTAAGTTGCTTCGTTTTTTATGTGATAATACATTCTCTTTAATTCTATAAGCAGACATAATTTCTTGTGCAGTTACAAAGTTCCACTGTTCAAGTCCTATAATTGCTGTGTCGAGAATACCGACTAATTTGTCAATCGAAATTTTTTCGTTTTCAATAACCTCTGTCACTTTCTATCGGAAGTGAATTGTAATGACGAGGCATTTGATTTAAATCATATCAAAGACAGGAAATACTACATTGAGTAAGCAATTATAAGCCAAATAAAATAAAAACATCTGCCCTGAAGATAAGGATAGTGCTGACAGATCAACTTCCAATTCATTGCAGGCGGCCACCGCATTAAAGATAAACAAAGTTTAGATAAACAAACGTTAAAGTTTAGATAAACAAAGGATATGCCTTTATCCATTTTTTTGCAGCAATTCCACTTTTTGTTTAATGGACTCCAAAAGATACTTTCGCTTTGTATATCCTTTACATATTAGTAAATATATATCGAAAATTCTATTTGACATAATCGAAAGTTCAAAGCTTACTTTTATAAAATTGCTCTAACAGTGTGCAAAAAATAATAATCCGGATCCAATTCGAAGATTAAGGAACAATGCAATCTCTAACATTAACTGAAATAGATAATTAGATAATTTTAGCTTAGCTTATCCCGTCCATTATACATTAAACACGCATTCGTAAACATATTTTGCGCACACGCAAATTCACAGCGGTAAAGGTCTTACGCGTCAGCACGACGCATGCGCAGAAAGTTTGTAGCTTTGAGGTCTGGATTATAGATCATTCCAGATTATGGGTGTCCGAATTAACGACTTTTGACTGTATTAGTAACAGAAATCTGTAATGCTTAACTATACCATGCTCAGATATATTCAAACACGCTATTCATACTTTGTTATTCATCCGCTTCCATGCATATGCAATCTATAACATTTTTCACCAAACTTTATTGTCATACTTTATATAAATTTTTTTTGCAAATTTGACAATAATAATTTATCTTTATTTTTGTTTTAGAAAATGAAGATTTAAAAGCCTGTATATCTGAAACAAAACCATGCACAATTATAATCAAAACAGAAAAGAAAGACTGCCTTCAAATCATTCTTCAAATGCCATTAAACTGAGTGATAATTCATCCCACTTAGATACTCCTGTAAAAAACTGTGTTTCTGAAATTGTTCCAAACAAAAGTGAAACAGATATGGAAGTTGATATGCAAGAAGTCTCTACTAAAACTGATCTGAAACCAGTAGAGAAAATTAGCAACTTGTCTAATTCAGATAATTGCATTAAATCTGAACACTCAACAGATAAAAAAAATGAACCTATTCCTATGGAAATTGACAGTGAACCAAAAACTGATACTGAAACAAATAGTTCTGAAAGTGTAGTTAAGGATGATAGTAAGTTGTTAAGTTCTACACTGGTAACTCATGAAAAAATCCAAGCAGAATCAAATAAAAGTTTGTGTAATAATACTGTTACTCCAGCTGAAAGTTTAGACCAAGAAAGCAAATTCAAAGTTGGGAAAATAAAATTGTATGAGAAATGGAGCAATGAAAAAAAGAAACTAGCTGCTGCTCAATCTGAATGTAGTTTAGTTTCCAGTGATTCATTACCAAGTAATAAAGAACATGTAGATCCAGAACGTTCTGTTGCTGTGAATCCTGAAGTTGATGTTTTGTGCAATGTTTCAGAAAAGTCTAATCTTTTAAAACACAATGATGGATTTCCTTCAAATATTGACCAAAGTAGTTGCAATGACGAAGTACCAATGGACTTGAGCATAACTTGTCGGACTTCTGATGGAATCAAACAAAATGCATCAGTGACTAATAATCATTCTATTACTGTGCCCCTTCCTATTGATAGTAAAAATTCATTATTTTCTGATTCCAAAAGAAGTGATTCTCGGAGAAATATTCATTCAGAAAGTGCTATAGAAAATCCTCTCTCTGACAAATGTTCTAATGTAGAAAACTCTAGTATGAACATTAATCCTCAAGTACCACGGCCATTTAAAAAGAAACATTTATCTATGGTGAAAGATGATTCTATTAAAGGAAATTATGAACATGCTCGTAAGTCAGTGATATTTGAAGTTAAAAACAGTAAATTATTAAACCAATATGTAGACATACCTTACAATCATGATGACAGACCATCACAAGTTTCAGGCTTTTCCCATTTGCAAGCCTTACAGAACATGTGTGATAATAACCCCATGGCTGGTCTTCAGAATAGTGTTATTCAATCTATAACTCATGATAAAAAATCAAAACTGGATTCTAATTCTTGTAAAAAGATAAATGCCAACGAAAAGCCTTCATTTAGTGGTACATGTTTTGATAATTTAAGTAAGTATAATTTTAGTGGTGCACAAGTGTCCACTGACATCAAAAGTGCTGCTGAATGTGAAGTAACAGATACGTTATTAAAATCTAACGTAAACTGTAGTCCTGTAAGTTCTCAAAAGGATAAGCATGAAATGAGTGTTCCTGAACTAAACTGTGAAAGCATCTGTACAAAATCTGAGATAACAAATCAGAATTGTGAAACAGATACTAAAAATAAAATAGATATGCTTAAACAAAAAGAACAGAATTCTGTGAAAAAGGACATTAAAAGCAATTCTCAGTGTTCTGAAAATGTTTCTAAAGTACCAGTAGAAGCTGTTGATTCAACAGAATATGCGAAGAAGTCATCTGAAGAATCAATTAAAATGAAGAAAATCCAGCCTACAGTGTTAGATGCTGATGATAGTACTCATTCTGTTGTGCAAAATGATAAATCTTGTAGTAATGCCGAGGTAAGGTCTGATGGTAAAGAAAAGGAATTGATGGGATCTTTTGATAAAAATGCTAATCAAGTTGAGGTATCTGCATCAAAAATTACTGAATGTTGTACTTTAAAGGTAGAATCATCTGAAAATACTGAAAATTCTGTTGGTGGTAACAATAAGCAAGAAGACAAAAAATATCTAGTGACTGGTAGAGAGGAAGGGCAAGAGATAAAACCTGTTGACAGTAGTGAACAGACTTCTAAAAAAATTAAACTAACTGATGAAGAACCAGAAGAGCCTTTAAAATCTTCTGACATTGGGGAGCAGTCTGCCAGGAAAATAACTGATAAGCAGCTAACATCATCAGAGGAAGTTCTTGAGAACAAGAACCTTTCTGTTCCGAAAGATGAAATAAAAATGTGTGTGATTAGTCCTGATAATGATATTGTTAGAAACGATTCTGACATTAAAAAATCTTCAGATGAGTTAGATAAAAGTCTTAAAGCAGATAAATGTGCTTCAACAAAATCTCAAGAAAACATTGATTCATCTGTTTCATCGTCTAGCACTGCTTCTTTTGAAACTGGAATTAAATCTGTAGAAGATAATTCTAAGTGTTCTGAGATGGATTCGTATTGTCCAGAAAGTGAGGTTTCTAACTCTAATCCTATTTGCCAGAATACTGTGAAAAACGGTATCTCAGAGTCTCATAATTTAAATAATTCAGATAGGGAAAGTGAAAAATGTGCTGAAGAAGTTTCACTGAAAAATGAAAAATCTTCCACTTCAATAAATTCTGAATCAGAAACGGCAGCTATATCTCTGAATAATATATGTGAGGAGAAAAAAGAAGTATGTAAAGAGAGTAAAGTTTCTGACTTAAATTGTTTTTCAGTGGAAAAACATGAGTCTGCTGCTGTAATAAGTGAGCACATTTCTGTTCTTCCAGAACAAAATTCAGCTTCATCAAGCAGAGATACATCTGATATTTCTGAAAGTAATGGTCTTCTAAATGTTACTAAGGAAAAATTATCAGCAAAAGCAGCTGATGAAGCCTGTAAAAGTAAATGTGATAATGCTGATGCAGAAAAAATAAATCTTTGGCAAAGAATAATGATCTATTGGCAGATTCTAACTCGGACATCCCAGGCGAAAGAAGGAATAAGTGTGAGGTTGTAATCAATAATTCTGAATCGCATATTCAAAAAGATAAAGATTATAAAGCAAACAAAGAAACTGATGTGCCCTTTAAAAATAACTATATCAAACCAGCAGTTGTTGAAGACATTGACAGTTCTAAAAAGGACTCTCCAAACTGTGCAGAAAATAAAATTGAAAAAGAATTGGAAAGTAAAATAAGTGATGGGAATGCAGATTGCATTGTATCTGATGGTCAGTTAAGTAAAAAGTGTGAATTACCAAACACTGGTGAACAAATTTCTGCACATGAAAATGAAATTCATTTTGCTTCAAAGAATGATTCACGTCAAGCTGATATTAAAGAAAGTTTGACAAGTGATACATGTTCTGGTATAAAAGAAATTAATATAAACTCAAATCTCGATAGTGGATCAAAAAATCTGGAAATTGTTTCTGATCTAACAGATGCTGTGGAAAACAAAGCTCTAAACTCAGATCATGCTACATTGATTTCTGAACTGCATAATGAAAACGAAAAAAGCACAAGTAATATTCAGGATGAGGTAAAAGAAAACAGTGCACCTGTAAATTGTGACGGAGATAAAGATCAAACGAATATAAAAAATAATGAAGTTGGGGAAAATAAGTCTATATTGCTTGAAGCTGATAATAAAATGAATGGAGAGGAAAATGATTCTCCAGAGTCAGGTGTAAGATGTTTATCTACTTCTGCTTGTAAAGAAAAACTTCCTGATACTGAAGAAACCTCAGTGGTAAAAGAAGATGAAACGTCAAGTGCTCAGTCTAATGAAAAAAATTTTGAAGAGGTTAATAAAATTAATAAAGTTAGCAAAAAAGTTTCTGGGAAAAGTAACAAGAAAAGGTGCTAAAAGCAAATCCAAAAAAACAGCTTCTGACCAAAACCTGGAAAAACATTCCGACTGCAATAAATCACTGCCAAATTCAAATTCTGAACAAAACTATAGTAATGATTTAGAAAAGAGTTGTAAAAATTTAGTTGTGTCAATTGTTGATGCAAAAATATCTGGGATGACTGATATGCCAGCATTGAAAGAGCCATGTTTAGATGAAACTGATAAAAAAGTGGCAGTGGACAAAGACATTAGTGAAGATTCATCTGTAAAATGTAATGATAGCATAAAAGTAGAGGGAAAATCTGAAAATGAAATGCCTGAAGTCTCAGTCAATATTAACAGAATTTCATCTGAATTATCCACACCAGCGACTGAAACAAAACGTAAATGTCGTAAACCCCGCAGAAGGGCAAGGTGGGATGTAAGAAGAAGCAGGAAAAGATCATCAAAAACTGCTTGTAAAGATAAGCCAGTTAGTGTATGCAAAGAAGTAATAATTGAAAACTCTAACGAAAGTGTTTTAGAAATACCAAGTTGTGATACAAACTCAAAATCAAAAGGGTCCAAGAGTTCTTTAGAAAAAAATAAAACTTCTGTTGATGTAACAGTTATAGAACTGAATGAAAATTCATCATTTGAAAAAGAAGAAGATATTTCATTAGCTGTCATAAAGGAATCTCTTAAGTCATCTAGAAACTCTGAGTCTAAATGTGATCTCAAAGTACCAAATTTAAGAATTTCGGTTAAAGATATGTATGATATTTATATTGTAATGAATAATATTTGCCTAGAAACAAAGTTCAAGCACCCGTCCTGTAGTAATTCTGCTAGCATAGTTTCAAGTGAATCTAATTTATATGTAAAATCAGATCAAATTTCTGGTCTAAGTTTTGATACAACAAATGATGATGTTATTCCCATTGATATAAGCAGTGATAGTACAGTGAAAAAGAAGAAAGGCAGATTAAGAACAAAAGGGCCTTCTCCAAAACCAAAAGAATCAAAAGTTCCAGTCCTTAAATCTAGCATTAAAACTCCTGCAAAATCGGCGAAAAAACGGAATATAAACAATTCAAAAAAATTATCTGATGCAAATGATGATCAGTTTTCCATACCTGAAGGATTTTTAGAAATATTAGGTAATGCTGAGAATGATTTGCATTCTTCTAATAAGGAACCCGCTAGAAAATCAAGGAGATCTGCCGATCTGTCAGTTATCTCTCTCCAAAGTAGTGAAGGTGAATCAACTCCTCGGAAACGAAGCAGACGTATTCAGGAGCAGCATCAGAAAAAGATATCTGAGTTAGCTGTTGAAATGGAAAGAGAACAAAGAATGTTGGAACAGTTAGCAAAGAAGTCAAATGCTAAAAAAAATGTTCCCCCCAAAACACCTGAGAAAACACCTGTGAAGGTATAATTTTATTATTTTTTTCACTTTATTAATTTGGTGCTTTCTAAATCTGACGTTTTATTACTTTTATATTTTTTACCATAAATTTCTAGTTGCTGTTACTTTCTGAAATTTGTTTCTATGTGTTAATTGAAAATTTGGTTTTACTGTGTGCTAATACACAGTAGTGTACTAACGTTCATGGGTAGTGTGTTCCGAGACTTATCCTATATAATAGCAAAAACTGTATGAAATAAGTAACAAGTTAATGTAATTAAAAATTTAAGTCAAATTTAATTAAAAGATTGTGCAGTGTAGTCATCACCAAAATTAAGTAATATTAAGTACTATAACACATCTTATATTGTCAAAATTAAGTAATTTAAAGTGCTGTAATACATAATATATATAATCACAGAATTTAGTTATGTAGCTTTTTTTGGGTTGTTTATACAGTTTTGTACTGTTGTAAATAAAATTGTTGCAGTTAACTAATGCAGATAATAGGATATCATTGTAGCTTATGCTATCAATAATATATTTATTCGTTATTTAATTATATACTGGAGTTTGATAATGTTATTTTCTTCATATTTCACTTTATTGTTTCTCAGTAAAATATATCCAAAAACTGAATCTTTACAATCTTTTAATGTTGAAAGTTATTTTTGGCATAACTGGACCCATATATTTTGGATTGCAGTTAATTTGGATGCTTATATTTCAATCCAATAAAGTAACTGCTATGTTATTAGAAGTACTTTTGAGATTAAAGAAACACAAGAAGATACATTTAAAAATATAAATTATTTGTTAAAAGGAAGCCTTTAATATCTAAACTGAAGCAAGTGTTTAAGGATTACAAAATTTTCATTTTAAAAGTACAAGGTAATCCAGAAGTTGGTAAAGTTTAAAAAAAAGTACCATTTTGAAGAATTTGCACAAATATTTTGGAAATAGGGAAAATCATTATACCCTTTTTTTATGATTTTGATTTTTCAGTTTTTTTTTAGTTTTATGTACACCACATGTCCATAAAAGAGTATAAAATACCTTAACATAAAGTCTAAATATGTCAGTCATCACTATTAAGTACTGCTTAAAGAGTAACTAAATGGACATTAAACCTATATTTTTTTTCAGAATAAATGCTTTTCATATTGCATATTTACAGTGGATGATTTCTATATTTATTAGTATTTGGTGATTTTTGTATTTTTTGAGAAAAGTACTGGGTTAATAGTCGAATCTATTTGACAATTAAAGTAATACATATTACTTTTATACAACCAAAATGAAGTGATGCTTTTTGTATGGATGTTGTAAACTCCAGTGTGTACTATTCCCATGGGGACCTCTGGTTAGGTGAAGCTGAGGTAGAAAACCCCGGTTAGGTGGAATTCTTGATTTTCTTTCAGGTAAAGTTCAGTTTATTTAGTTGATAGAGAAAATCGTGGAAATAGAGATTAGTCTACCAAGCAAAACATATGAGAATTTCTGTTTAAGATCTAACTGCAAAATTTTTTAACTATCTTGAACTGCCACAGATGAGCTTTTTCAATAAAATCAGTGATCCATTTAATCAGTCCATCAAAATGACATTTTTGTCTGTAATAAATAAACTTAATTGCTATTATACTGTAACTTATTCTTTCTTGATGGTGGGAAAATTTAATTCCGTCATGTGGTTATGACTTAGGAGTGCTGAGCATCACTGTATGCCCTAGCTAAACCTCATCGGCAAAAACGTCTAAGTTTTGCAGTTCAGTCTAACAAGCAAAAATAACACCTTTGAAATCTGCTTTTTATTGAAATATTTAGATTCTTGCTTATTTTATTTTTATAATATAAACAGGAGATCCTAATATTTGCAATTAAACTAAAAATTAAAATTCAGTTTTAGTAATAATATCAGTAAAAATAATTATATATTTAAATTATTTCTCTTACAATAATGAAGTAAAGAATTTAAAAATTTAAAATATCAGTGCATATTATAGAATCATATTGCTGATTTGCAGCATATTATCACATTGCATACAAAATTTTAAGCATCTGCAATGTGTGAAACATTTCTAAATTCTGAATTCATGTTGTAAGCATCATGTTTTAGTATTTGTAGAATAAAATCATAAATAATTTTGATAAAGTAAACCTAACACTCAAGAGATTTTATTCAATTAGATTTCGTAACATTTATATAAATTTATGTGGATTTAAAATTTGAAATTAAAAATTTCCAGTTCAGCATATCAATTAAAATATAGTAGCACCATTTAGTTTAATCACATTTGTTCATTAATATTTTGATAACATTAGCTCAGTGTTTTTTTACCTTTCCTCCCCCCCCCCACATATCCCTTTCACCATTATTAAATGATCATCCCCTTTCGTTTCCAAAGCTTAAAATACCCTTATTTAAATATAGATTATTGTTGTAATGTGTTTTATAAATTAAACAAAAAGGTGGGGGTATAGAAAATCTTGATGAATACTAAAACTTGAATAAAAGTAGTTTTTATATTCATAAACTAAAACTAATACTTAACCGATAAATAAAAGGCTAACTGTATCCCCCTGAAGCTATGACATTTTTCTATGGGGGGGGATGTTTCCTGATTAAAATCCTGTACATTAACAACAATATTCAATTAAAAGAGGAAATAATGCCCTTCAAAATAGTAATGGAATTTAATTTGTTTATAGATTTAACTAGAAACATATAAATAAATACTTGTAGATATAGCCAGAAACATATAAATAAGTACTCAAAAGGCAAAAGTTTTTTATAAACTGTTCAGAATGTCTGTAATGCAAAAGTTCATTTATAAACTGTTCATAAGATTTCTCGAAATTATTTGACTGATGCTGAACCCTTGATCTCTATACTTTAAGAGCATCCCTCATCAAAAGAGAAAATGCTGATGTAAAATTAAAAATTAGGCAAAAAGAAGCCGACCTTATGATATGATTTCATGGATTTTATATAACACTTTGTTCAGTAAGTCCCGAGACTAACCAACAGATGGCGTAGTAATATCAACTTGACTTCGTTGTTCGAAAGAACTAACCTTCAAATGACACATGTTCTGATTTTCATGGCGTTCGGACCTGAAACAGCGAAGCTACTGTGGTGAAAGTGACACTACTTGTGTATTTGTGGACAAAATGGAGAAAAACAAATTTCGAGTGTTCATTAAATATTGTTATTTAATGGGCAAAAATACCGTTTAAGCTCAGCAATGGCTTGAAAAATGTTATCCAGACTCTGCTCCATCGAAAACAATCATTTGTCGTTGGTATGCTGATTTCAAGTGTAGTCACACAGATACAAATGATGCAGCACGCTCGGGTAGGTCAAATGTAGCAGTCACTCAAAAAATGTGAAGCTAGTGTTGAAAATCTTGATGAATGACTGCAAAGTGAAAGTTCATGAGATTGCTACATGATTGTAAACATATCAACAGAAAATGCATATACGATTTTATATGAAAAGTTAGGCATGAAAAAAGTGTTTTCCAAATGGGTGCCGCGTGTGCTCGCAGTGGAATAAAAGCAACAAGGAGTTGACTATTCACAGAGCTGTTTGTCACTGTTTACTCGCAAAAAAACAGGATTTCTTGCATGGGTATGTGACAGTGGACGAAACATGGATTCATTATTTCACTCCGGAGTTTCACCAGTGCAGCTGGTGAAAGCCATCTGAAGCGTCCAAGAATGCAATAGTGAGCTGGCAAAGTCATGCATCAGTGTTTTGGGATGTGCAAGATATAATTTACATCGATTACCTTGAAAAGGATAAGTCCTATCAATAGCACCTATTACAGTGAATTATTGGTGCGTCTGAAGGACGAAAGCGGAAAAAAAAAAACAAAAAAACTGCAAATGAAGAAGAAAAAATCATCTTCCATCAAGACAAGGCCCCGTGCCACAAGTCAATGCAAACACTGGTTACATTGAACAAGTTAGGCTTCACTCTGCTTCCCCACCCACCATACTCCCCAGATCTAGCCCCCAGCAACTATTGGCTGTTTGGTGATCTGAAAAAGATGCTCCAGGGAAAAGATTTGGCTCGTATGAGGAAGTCATCGCTGCCACTGCAGCTTATTTTGCGGACAAGGACAAATCGTTTTACATGGTATCGAAAAATTAGAAAAGCCTTGGGATGATTGCATAGGTCTTGATGTTCATGAATAAAGATGAATTTTGTGAAATGGATTTGTTTTCTTAGTTCCTGGATTTATTGAACGATGCGTTATGTGTATGTAATGAAAGCAAATTTTAGAAATATTGGAAGTAGGAACCCTGAGGTGTAGAAATGCAGAAACACTGATTGGTGTAGATACTCCATTGAAGAGGAAGAAGTTGAGCCGGGTTAAGTCCCACTTTTATTTAAATTCACATTTATGGCCACAGTTTACTTGACACTCTAACTGTGCCTATTTTCTAGAACATTTACATTTTTTAATACCGCTGCAATAGGAAGAGAGTGAGGGAAATAACATCCAAGCAGCACAGAACTTAAAGCTAAAAGTGTGCATTTATCGAATATGGAAGATCGCAAAGAGGAAGGTTTTTGGTTTACTGAGGTTTCAGTTCTCAAGAGTTCAGGTTCCAAAATAACTACGTCATCAGCATTACGCAAGCTTTGTGGCATAGATTAATCTAGAAATGATGCAATCCAGAAATGTTATTATTATTTTATAAATAAAGAGGAAATACCCAGATTAAAAATGAGGAATTAAGAGGCTATTATTAAATTAAATATTAAAGGTGATGTAAGTATTTTTTATTTTACATGTATGTATTTCAAAAGCAAAGAAAAGTACAGGGAAAATTCTGCAGATTTTTTTTTTATTTGTTACTGAGGAAGGTGGACCTATCATCTTCTGTGCCAGTGACACTTCATTCCCATATCACATCTGATATGGTGGGCACATAAAAGGAAAATGAAGCATATTGTATATGATAAGCTAGGAGCAAAGAGGTTAATCATACTTAATTTTAATTATTTCCCAATTAATACTATAGGCATTAGTAAATCACATTGTTTGTTAATAATATTTAATTTATGTACATGATAAGGATTTTATTCAGAATGCAAGAAAATAGCATTAATTATCTTTTAAATGTTCCAGATTTTCACATGTTATATTAACATAGTTTTGTGTTTATTTTTTATAATTATTGCTAATAATGGCATTATACAAAATTTTAAAATGTGAAAATAAACATTTTTAGTAACTGGATCTGAAAACACTGTAAAGTTTTTTAATCACCCCAATACAAATATGTATGATAATGAATGGATAGTTTATATGTTTCTTTTATTAGTCATATGCTTACTGACTAGATAAGAGATAAGAAGTAAGCTCATCTATTGTACCATGAGCAGGTAAAATTCATAATTTCTTTGTTGTTCTGTTAGGAATATGTTTATGGGGGGAAGGAAAATTATCAAAGATTAAGGGAACTAAGTGAAAAATAGTAACTTGTAAAGGGTGTCCCAACAAAAACACCAAATTTAATACGCCCAATAAAATTTATTTTGGAAAATTTTATTTTAAAATTTTTTTTCAGTAAATAGAAAATATTTTTACATACTTATAACTGAAAATTAGTGAAAAATAGCATCTATCTCGGTGACTCTCTATGTAGCACCACTTTCTCTCAATAAAATTCATAATCACTTTTTCACATATCTGCCTATTGACAGGGTTAATGACACATTCAGTTTCTTGTTTAAGTTCTTTTGTTGTCTCTCCTTTAAGTTCTGTTTCGGAAAATTTACAGTAACACTGTCACATGCAGTAGCAATGTTTTAAAAAGACTGTCTGAATCATGAGTGCAGTGATTTAATGTCTGCTGTCAAATCTGTATCCTTAATTTTCGTTGTCAATATGCTCACTGTTGTTTATTAGATTGTTTTGTTGGGATGCCCTATAAGTGTTTTTTTCTGTTTATTCTGTCAAGTTTACAGTAAAGTAAATTTATGCTTGCGTAACAGGTGATTAATAAGAAGGCATATTTAAGAAATGTGTGGGGAAAATATTTTTGTTTTATACGTTATAGAAATTTGTAATTTTAAAATATGTTTTTTTTTTCCTTTTTGTCTATGTTGACAATTATGTTATTGGAGTCATTATTTTTACAATCGTTACTAAAAATTCATTTGGTAAAACTTAACATTACAATTTCAATTTGTCTGTTTCTTTTAAAAAAGAGCTAACATTAGATTTCAATTGTTTCATAAAAAGTATTTGTTTGCTTATTTAATCTATTTATTTAGGCCAAAGAATCTAAGAAACCTGTGAAAACAAAGCCTCCCCCTCCTGTACCTGAAGAAATGTGTTTAGATTCTAAACGTGCAACGAGAAAGATGAATAGTCGATCTAGAAATATGACAAAAATGGTATATTTATGTATACATATAGTATATAAATTGAGCTATATTGAAAGAATGATTGTAATGTTCATAGTTTTTTTCTGTATTCTTTTTTAAATAATTTCAGATTTATTATTATTTTTTTTTTTAACTCTGGGGTTCACATAAATTATCTATAAATTAGGGTAAATGTTGTTACTTTTCTTGAACATAATAATTTTTTAAAAAAAGTCTTTGAGTACTTTGTTATTATTTAACTAAGAAGCAACCAACTTAGAAAAGCAAATAGTCAAACTTACCCAAAATATTCAGATTTAATGCTATTCTAAATTTTTCTGGCTAAAATTAATTCGCTATTCATTTTTAAGCATAGAATACAAAATTTCACCCATTATCTGATAATAGGCTGGAGAAGCAACAGAAATAAGTTTAATGATTTTATATTCAATTAGTAATTATTACTTTATTTGCATAATACTGTTTATTTGGAGGTTTTAAAGTTTGTTAAGAAAGCTGCTATTAACAAGTAAAATCCAATTTAGTTGTGAAAATGAAAACAGATATTGAAAATGCCTGTATTTCTTATATGTAATTATGAACAGTATTAATCTGGTAAATTTTCAGAAGGGCATTCATATTTCAGATGGAAACAAAAACTATATATCATGTGTTGATAAAGAGAAAAATAGAATATTTAAAAATTTTTAAAAAAAGGGGAGGAAATGAAGAAGAATTTAACTTAAAAATTTAAAGCTGATGGAAATCAGTTTTGAAACAACAACAAGTAATGCCTACCAGCAGGCGAGTGGTAAAAGCCTCTGAACACTGGTAGTTCGATCGGGCTGCATGGCCGTTTTCGTGGTTTTCCCCATGTGTAACGTGGATATGAGCCAGTTTCCCTTTAAAAAAACCTGCACTGGGCATCCCTCCCTTTTCATGTAGTGCCTAAGGGCGGAGCATGTAATAAGCAAAAAAAAAGTAATCCACTAATGATTTGGTTGGAAATTCTGGAGAACCTGTGAGTTATCCATAATTACTAAATGGAATTGGTATAAGCCATTCAGTTAAAAGCAAAATTTTGAAAAAAAAAAGTGAAACTTAAATAGTGTATAAAAATTCCTTGAATTTATTCTACTTACTATATTTTCTTATTCCTTAGAGTATAGATCACATAATGCATGAAATCTCCATTTTAAGCAGATCAGCTAAAGCAGTTAGACAAACTAAAATAAATATTCTTTTGAATGTTTTGATTTTGGAAATAGATTCTTTCCAAATACCTTCTGTTCCCGGTTTAAAACATTTCTAAGTTATAATATTAGAGTAGGCTGTTTCAAGTTTGTGTCTTTAAGCCTGTAAAGCAGTTTAATTAACTGTAGTTTAAAAATAAGCAAACTATACAGATATATTTACATTTCTATAAGAATGCATTTTAAAGATAGCAAAATCAGGATGGAGCAGAGGATCCATTACTGTAACTGGAAAACTGCATTTACCATATCTGGATTATTCCTGAAAACAAACTGTATATGCAGTTTTGCCATAATCTAAATTTTTTACAAAGTGATTAAAAGATTTATTATTCCAGTAGCAGAATAGTGTACGAATTATAACTGTATTGTTAGATATGATAGTGTACCATGTGATGTTACAATTACATCAATATCAATATCTCGGAGCATAATTTTTAAAGAAATTAAAAACATCGTAATTATTTTTTTGCATTGTAATTTATAATGCGTTTATTCCTCCCATTCTTTAGACATTGATGTATGAAGATGAATCTAAAGACAGTGAATTTTCTAATTCGAGGGACACAGACAAATCAAAGAAAAGGAGAAGAGGTCGAGGTACTAGAAAAGGATTTAGACCCTGGGACGTGTCTTCTGAGTCATCATCTTCAATAGAGGAATTAACAGAAGAGGAGGAGGAGGAAGAACATGAAGAACCTTTGGTTTTTGAAGTAAATGAAGATGAATTTGCTTGTGAAGAAGTTGAAGAAGATGCTGAACCTGTAGTAATTAGGAGAGCCAGAACTGCTAAAAAAAGTATTTTACGTTCTGCATTCTATAAACGGCATAAGTTATTTTATCATTTTCATTCATTCAGTTTTAAAAATTTTTGTTTTTAATGATTTTAACTGCATCATTTTACAAATCTGTTTATTAATAAGTTTATGATAGAGTTCTCAATTTCTTTGATAATTATTATCTTGTTCAAATATTTTCAGCATCTGAAGGAGAAAGGTGAAGAGCCTGTTGTGATTGATGACAAGCCATGTTCTAAATGTGGAAAATACGATAGACCTGAATGGGTATTTTTTCTGAAATTAATTTATACATTGCATTTGTGATGATGTTTCATATATCATTTTAAATTTTGTGTGTTTAATTATTTTTCTGTGCTCTAGTAAAATAATGTTTTTTTTTTTTTTTTTTTTTTTTTTTTTTTAAGATTCTTCTATGTGACAAATGTGATAATGGTTATCATACATCTTGTTTGATTCCTCCTCTCATGCTAATTCCAGATGGTGATTGGTTTTGCCAACCATGTGAACATGTAAGAATATATGTCAACTCCTTTGCCGCCCTGTATTCCGATCTCTTTTTGTTTCCTTTTTTCTTTATTAATTGTTGTTACTTTACCACAACAGATGTTCCTGTGTGAATGCTTACAAAATGAACTGCAAAAATTGGAAACAGTGTTGAAACAGAAAGAACGAGAAGAACTGAGGTATAATGTCTTATGCTAATATGCAAAATAGGGTTGACTGCATGCATCAGAAATAATACCGAGATAGTTCTATGCATAATTTATTGAAGTTAAAGCAATTTTATTCAGAAATTTATAAATATTGCTTACTAATTTGTAAATTATGGCTTCATGTTTTTTACACTTATTAATACTTTACAGTGGTAAAATGTTTTTAGTTTTACTTATATGTTGTAATATATAAGGCCCCTTTTGCAGTATAGTGTAAGCTAATTTCTTAAAATGAATTAAAATACAATAATTTCTTATATCTACAAAGCTTAAATTCCTGCAGTGTTATGCAAATAGGAAACCACAGATACTGAGTCTGTAAGGCTATGTAAAATATTGGATTCACTATCAAATATTAGCCATTTATATATAGGATTTAATTTTTTGAAATAACTATAATATAGATATATAAAAAGAGCTTCATTAAAGAATAAAGTGAATTTAATAATTAGCATTAATTTAGTGAAACTGTTAAATTGACAAATCATTAGCAATGTTACAATAAAAGTGTGTTGTAGAATTTAATTAAAATTTTTTTCTTCCAAAGTTTCTGCATAATTCTTTGTAAGGCTAATGTTTTCATTGGAAATGTTGTATAAGACTTTTCACTTCTGACTCGTCCTCTGATGATATTTGTTCATTCAGAAATGCGAATTACTCCAGTTTAACTCCTGACAATTAGAGCAGAAGATTATTTCTTCCATTGTCTTTTATTTACTGCCTTAAAACATTCTGTATTTTATGCAATAGTTACAATTTGAGCTTCTGCTGTTCTGATATTGAAAGTTCTGTTGTAGGTTAATATTTAATATTTTTGGCTATAATTTAAGCCAACAGGTATTTGCCATAGAGAATTTAACAGCATCTAATAATTGATTTCTTGCTATTGACCAACTCACTGTCAATTGTGATTGGATATTTTTTAATCAACATTGGGAAAGGTTATGATAACTTACTGTCATTCATAGATTTAAGATCTATGAATGACTTGCAGGTAAAGCAGGTTATGGATGACTGCAGGAAAGTCTTAAAACCTGCAGTCATTCATAGATTTAAGATCTACTAGGTGGGAGTAGTATTTTAACACCAGAAATATGTTTTCAGCATTCAGTTGATTTGATATTAAGATTAGGATGTGGGCTGCAATGTTGTCAGTCAATAGAAAAACTTTAAACCCCCTCAACCTTTGATAAGCTATGCCATTTGTAACAAAATAATTATTTTATTAGCCAATAAATATCTAACCTGTGGACCAAGCCTTTTTTTTGGGGGGGGAGGAGAGAATGTTAAAGTTACTTTTATCTTTTCTTTTCAGAGCTTGTAGGTTCATTGATTTATAAACAAGCAAAATTTTTTATCTGCCCAGTTATCTTCCAAAACAAATTATTTTTTATATTTATTTCAGCTTTTTCTTGGCCATTAATGACACCCCCCCCCCCAAAGTTAGTAAGAGATTATTGTATATAGAAGGATTATTTTTTATTAAGTTCCAAAGAGTAATTATGTTTGTGTAAAAAATGGTTTGAAATCTATATGTATACTATGTTTTACCGTATCCTAGCAACAGTTCTTCATTTTGTCCAATTCTGTTCAACTGGTGTATGTGTAATAATGTCTCATGAAATCGGTGCTGCCATCAAATGTTAGATTCACTTTGTTTCTCTAGATTTCTTTGAAGTGAAGGACCAAATACAACTGAAATTTCTTGTTGCATGCTATACCTATGAAGAAGAGTGAAAGTGTTGTTTTTGAAATGGTACCAGTTGTTTCAAAAAGTAATTTATATTTGTATTGTGAGTCAGCATCAACAAGTGATTTTCCTCAAATTATATATCAGATTAAGGTTAAATGACCAGGCTTGAGTACTTACTTATTAATGCAACCACCGTGGAACAATTTGCCGATTTTTTACAGATCTAAAGGTAAAAGTCATTTATTGGGTGCAAGTTATTAGTTTTCATTCTTTTTACAAATTTAAAATTATTAAATAAAGATTATACAATTCATTAAAAAAATAAAACACATATATTCTTCTTTAAATTCTTTTGTAATTTTTTGGCACTGTTCTTCTCCTGTAGTACACAGCAATATGTGTTCTCTTAAAAAAAAAGTCAGAGAATTTTATGGAGACTCGGCTTCGTACAACCCTTGGCAACAGCGGCTATTAAGGAAATTCATTTCCTTATTGTTTCCTTGAGAAAATTTTCAGTAAAATTCTGTTACTACAGCTTGTTCCATTGCTGGCAAGTTCCAAAGTCACATATTCTTAAACCAAGTTTAAGGCAAAAAATATCATGATTAATTTATAAAAACCTTCAGAACTTTCAATTCGACAAAAAAGAACTTATACAAAAATGGGGACGTTGCTCAACTGAAAGATTGTTATGAGCATGGTTGCCTGAGTTTGGCACATGTTGAAAATTTAGCGACTTCAACTAGGTGGTTGTGTAAATATGTAAGTACCCAAGCTTTTTTGGCAAAGGCCTTCAAAGTAATGTATATAGGACGTGTGTGATATAAATGGTTGGTAAATGATAAGGCAGCATGCATCTAACAACAGAAAATGCAGTGATGAGTCTAAGTTTATACGAAACTAAAGAAAGCACCATTGTTTAATATATACTTTGCCTGCAAAAGTCCTTACCTGTCCTATATTTTCGCAGCCATTATTCATGATTATATACTTCCAATTACAAAATTGTTCCAAATATTCATATTTTTGCATTTTTTAGTTAAAGACAGAAATCAGTTTTGTTAAAATTAGGAAATGTAACTCTTTATATGTTCTCCCAATTCCTATACTTATATTTAGGAAGATTTTATGCTCATTACAAAAAAATAAAGAAAATGTTTTGCTTCCATGTGACAAAATTGGCTGAAATATTTCATTTTGAATTGGAGATTATATTAAAGAGCCATGTGCAAATTATTTTTATTTGTTTGCAATTAAAAATAGAATATCACTTTAGGAAACAATTTCTGATGTTAATAGATATTAAGTTGTGAGCACTTCTACACAGATTATTGTGAAAAGTATTGATCAATATAAATTTTTTCAGAAGAGAGATCTTATTCATAGAATTCATATTCTAGAAAACATAGGCTTCAGTATTGGCACTTAACAAACACGTAACATTATTTGCAGAATTAAAAAATTTAAATATTTCTAATTCTTATATGATTATTAGGTAATGATTTTAAAGTAATAAAACTTCATAGGAACATTAAAAACTTATAAATTATGTATCTGAATATTCTTATGGCATGTGAATTATAACAAAATTATGAATTGAAGAGCATTATACACTAACAAATTACAAAAACTTATCATTAAATGGCATTTACAGGGAACAAAAAACCTCACATTAATTAAATTTATTAATTAACTGATCCCTCAAGGCAAGCTGAAAATAACATCTAATGTGTGCAAAATTTTGAAATTAAATATCTAGGCCAGTGTTTGTCATATGAGAGTCAAAATTTAATTTTTTTATAATGAGTTTTAAATGTTTCTACATGTAAATACCAAAAAACACTCCAAAAAATTAAGATTTTATTTTATTTTATTTATTTTTTTCTTCCAAATTTGAAAATGCCAAAACATGAATATTTGTGTCATTTAAAACATTTTTGTACCTGAAAATATATTTCATTGACCAATGATTGCAAAAGTAAAAGCCAGATACAGACTTTTATGGATAGTGTAAAATCCTTGAAAGTTTATGTAACATTTGATACATTCTTAGAACTGCTTGGTTCCTTCACAAAACCCATCTTTTAGAATATTCTTTAAATATTTCATTATATATATATTTTTTAAGGTCTTCATTGCTTAAATTAACCTTTGATGTGATTTGTGAAAAAAGTCTAGGAAAGAGGAAATAATCTGCAGGTGCTAAAACTGGTCAACAAAAGAAAGGATTGAGAATTGTGATACTTTTTTTCTGCTTAATGGAACTATGTGACAGTGCACAGTGTTGCAGAAAAGCCAATTATTTGAGTGAACTTTTCCAGATTTAACTTGCTATTCTGTTTTCAAAAGTTTATCCTTTATACTTTTACATAATATGCAAGACACCATCTGTTTCTAAGGAACAAATTCCTTGTGAATTATCTTTTTATAGCCCCCCAAAAAGCTACTTAATATTTCTGAAACTGAAGTTTCTGTGGCCCAACGGAACCTTCTTCAACCCAAGCAGATGACTGCCATTTTTTTTATTAAGTTTGTAAGCAAAGTACCAAATTTACACACAGTTTATTTAAGAATATCAGGACTAATTAAGAATATCATTATCTTACCAAATTTACACATAGTTTATTTAAGAATAATCATGACTAATGTCAGCCATACAGATTAAATCATGAGAATCAGAAGTTCGATCTTTTTATTCTGCAGTCAATACGTGAGCTACAAAACTGGAACTTTTTTTTTTTTTTTTTAAAGTTATTTCATTACCAGTGTCATTACTGGTGTTAAGCTCATCAGCTGTCATTCAGAGAGACAGGATGATGATTTTCATTAACAGTCTTCAGACTTTTCCTGGTGTTTTCATTCTACTCAGTGTTGTGAAAGGCAACAGCTCTTGGGTTCATTATTAGTATCTTCAGAGCAAAAAATGTTTGTTTCTGTTAATATTTGATCTCTGTGTACTTATGATATATTTCAAATGTCTCCATTCCTGTCTTCTCAACTTTGCCACAAAACGTTATTGCAATTCTTTGTTCGGCATTGGAATCTATGACAGTAGATGTTTACTTGATCAAAGAAAACAATTAAGTCTCTAAACTAAACTAAAAAAAGTATTCTGTTGGTATCGGATCAGGTTCGTAGCATTTTCGTCTATGTCATAAGTAAGCTGCAGCAGATGCTTTGATTGTGTGGTTAAATGTTTTATCAGAAATAATTGTTGAAGTAAATAATGGTACAACTGTTAACATAATTTTTCTTGTAATATTTCGGTTGAATTTGAAGTATTTTTTAAAAGTGTTATTTGAAACATTTCATGGTGGCAAAGTGTTTTATATCCACAGTTCAGTATTTTTTCCCCTCTAAATTTTTTATTATTTATTTAGTATTTAAAATTGAATGAAGGAATTTTCGTTTTCTGCTAATGTTTTTCAGCAAGTATTTTAATAATTATAGTATATGAGTAAAAATGTGTGTTAAAAATCATAAATAATTTCTGAAATTTTCTTAGGAAACAGAGGCTTGCTTATGTTGGAATAAGCTTGGATAATGTGTTAAAACCTGTAAGTATATCATTAAATTTTTTATTTTGCTTATTTAAATATATCTATGTGAAGAGAAAATTTTCTTATTTAATTTTTGAGCCATACTTTTATTGTTTTTTATGTTTATTTATAGCATGAAATAAAACATACGATATTCACAAAAGAAGTTTATCATTTTGTATTCATATTGAAAGCCATGATAACAATTTCAATTTGTGAAATAAAGTGGACAAACCATGAAAATTTGTTTAGTAAAACGGTAGATAGTACGAAATATGTGGTGTAATTGAAAGCATATTTGAGAGATCTAGGTTTCGAATCCCAATGAGGACATTGCACATTTTTTACGTCTCCTGCTTAAAAAAAAAAAAAAAAAAAAAAAAACCTAATGACTGTGCAATGTTTTGCATCAGATCTTCCTTTAATATTGTGTATGTTCACCTCTGATGGAAACACAGACTTCACATATTAATTTCATAGAATTTACCTGACTGTTAATTAATTCTTATGGACTGCCATTCCAAAATTTGAAAGTGCATCTTTCAAATTTTGGGGGGATCAGGGAAGACATTTGCACTATTGCAGTTTGATGGCATAAGGCATCCTACACATGTTCAGTCAGTTCAAATTTGACGAGTAAGCTGTCCAGTCTATTCGAGTGATAGTTTTTAAGTATTTTGGCATTGGAGATGCTGAGTGTATAAGAGTATTGTTATCTGTTTAAAAAAAATCTGGGCCAACAGCATCCCTAAACAATCTTACATGAAGTGCCAAGATCTCGTCCATTCTGCAATTAATTTTAAAGCTTCCATCAAAGACTTGCAGTTCCATGGGTTGCTTTTTGATTATCTTGCCTCAAACTAGTTTTGGAAAAATAGTTTTCATGGGAGCAGCAACTTTCATCAATAAGAGGAAGCAAGTTGTGTGTTATTTATTCTTGCCAGATGAAAGCAGTGTAGAATAATACTAAGTTTATATCTGCACTTTTCAGTAAAAAATATACTGTCTCATCTCATTCAGTGACCACCTTAAGACCTTTGAAAGATAAATTTAGTAAGACTTAAACCACTGGTCTTCTTGCAGAAAGTTCAACACTGTGAGCCTTCATATGGCTATAGAATGACTGACTGAAGTTTTTGTTTGCAGCATAAAGATCTAAAATGAACTCTCTTGTAATTGTTTCATGATGCCTTTAAGCTGACAATGACTGACTCCCCCCCCCCAAAAAAAAGGGTTTTCGGATGCAGTTGTTGCTCTTGATCACTCATGACCAGGCTGTCTTCTAACTGGTTCACTCCTTTAAGTTCTTGATATGACTTTTTGAGGGGTATTCAGGTCCTTGATGACCTTGAATCTACGAGTTAGATACAGCTTTTGCCATTCATTTGAAGATTCTTTTAAGACAACTAATGAATACTAAATCACTCTCAGAAACCACATTAAATTTTAAATATCTTTACACACTCGAATCCCAACATTTGTCCATTGTGCAATATGTTGTCTGTGACCACTTAATTTGCAAATTTTATACCTTAAACTAAGTGCAGAAACTCAATTTAGTTTTCAGTTACGTTAAAATAAATATATTATTAAAAACGTTAAAATAAATTAATTATTAAAACTTTAATCTGTGAGCATATTTTTCAGATTATCTTTCAGCTTTTGATGAGCAGTGTATTTTAAGGAGTGAATGTGTTTGTGAATTGCTCAGTTTGTTAATACAATAAAAACTTGAAACATAAATTAAATACCTTTTGTCATGTTGAATGGTAATATTCTGTAAAATGGCTATATTATCATGTTGGTTCATGTTGTGTCGTTTGAGAAGTCAATCGGATCCACGCGTGGAAATCGCTACCAGTTCCATTGTCTTTTCACTGTACAGCTCTTTCTGGAAAGGAAATTCCCCCAAGCTTAGCAGAGTTGTAAGAATTGACGGACAGGTGAAGATGTGTTCTGGAAAAAGTTTCATTTTGGGGCAGTTTCTACAAGTTCCATATGATCTGGTACCAGCTTCATTAATTTTCATTTCTCTAAAATGGCAGGTTTTCAATGTAGTAATTGTCTTTGTGACTTCTCTGTTTGCATTAATCTCACATATCTGATGGTCTTTCTTAATAGATTTCTCTTTGACTCTATATATCTGGTAATAGCATTAGCATCTTCAAGAGTAACGGGGATTGAGTTGTTGAGATTTCTTCTCTTTTTAGCCAGTTCATCGACTGCCTCGTTTCCATCGATTCCAACACGTGCAGGTATCCATTACATAATGCATGTCTTTTCCATCTGGGTGATTGTTTGTAGGTGTTGGTGTACATTCTGGGTGAGTCTTGAGTGTCCTTGCAATATTACTTCTAGAGCAGCCTTAAAGTCATGGTAAATTACAAGTTCGTTAGCTGTATCATTATCATTTAAGTCAATATAAATTCTCAGGGCCTCCTGGATTGCTGTTAATTCACTTGTGAAGTTGGAAGCAATGTTGTGTGCTCCATAGCTTTGGAATGTAGTTGCTCTATTTGGTAGAGTGATGTGAATACCGGCTCCACCCTTTAGATGTCTTGAGGCAATGTCAACCATTTTTCCATGAGAGGTTATTTTATCATGAAGACATATTAAAGACTATAACATTTTGCATAAAAAGCAACACCTTGCTTAGTGATATGAATAAAAATGCATGTTAATGCAATGTAATATGATGGTTGAAAAATTTTAGATAAACTGTGCTAAAGATGTTTCTAATAATAATATAAGATTTCATAAGATGTTTCTAATAATAATATAATATTTCATTTTCTGTCATAAAAATGCTTCAGATATAGTAATTTAACAAGATATACTTATCTGCATTTTACATAAATGAAATAAAAAGCACCACTTTTCTAATTGACTTTTATCATTTGTAAGTAGAATGAAATCTCTCAGAATCACCTCTGAAAATGACCATTGTTTCTGAGAACATAAAGAAATAGGCTCAGTCAGGTTCATTTGGTATTGAATATTATTTTTCGTTGTTGACTACTTTAAAAAAATTTAAAGGGATCTAGAATGACAGTTGGTTACCTTAGCTGCTATCACACCTTAGTTTGTTTTGGAAGAACAACTGTTTGGAACAATTTTTCTGCTTTGTCACTACAGCCAATCACCATAGATCGCTTTGGGGTTAACACAAGAGAAACTGGTTCCGCATTACAAACAAGCTGATAGCTGATTGGTTGAACATGAATAACTTGCTATTTTTTTGGAAATGAGAAAAAGTCGCACGTCTTTCTTTAAATAGTAAACCAGGCAGAAAAATTGTCCAAAACTGTTGTTCATGCGAAACAAACGCTGTGTGATATGGGCCTTAGAGATTTCATTGCACCAACTCTGGTCTCTGATCCAATTATTGTCAGCCATCAAAAGTCTCATTTTCCGCCACCCCTCTTTTCCATGTAAGTAGCTTGTTGGTGAAAATTTTGGCTAATTTTTGGAACAGGAATGGTAACAGGTAGTTTGGCGACATTTTGGTAAGGCGATAAAGGTTACTAGCTAGGAATTTAGCAGTGTACATGGATAAAGTCAAGAGTGTGCGCAATGCCATTTTTGTGCAATTCTGGGATGTTTTTTTAAGTGATAATTGGTCGACGTGTACATAGATGATATCGTGTATGTGCAATTCTTAAAAACGCGGCAAGCAGTGGGAGATTCTGCACTTTTTCCCAATTTCGCACTTAATCTTCGTCATGATTAAGCATTTTTGTTCCATAAAAGTTTTAGTATAAGCGTAATTTGGCTAGCAGATTGTTGGAAAAAAGTTGAGTTAAAAAAAAAAAAAAAGCCTTTACTTCGTGAAAACAAAGTGGCATCCAAAACAAAACTAGCAGGTTGCTGTAGCAGGGTCGCCAAATTTTTGCCCCAAAAAATCGCCAAGTTACCACAATCCGAAGATTAACCAAAATTTTCCTCATGCTTATGTGAAACATCTTCCAAATATTCTAGTAAAAATCCAAAAACTTGTGAAAGAAATGTAGTTTGAGTGAAATATTGCAACTTAAGTACATCCTCCACATGATCTTCATAATTTTAAGATTTGTTATTTCCTGAAAAGAAGTCGCAAACGTTTTGAAATGAATCATATGCTCTTTGTATCATTTAAACTGAATATTTCAGAAAGTTTTTTAATCTGTGGTTAGATAAAAGTTCTTAATGTTTTAGCAATGCAAAAGCTTTTTTTTTTTTTTTTTTTTTTTTTTTTTTTTTTTTTTTTTTTTTTTTTTTTTTTTTTTTTTTTTTTTTTTTTTTTTTTGAATGTTTTATACAGATTTAAAAAATATTTGGTAAAGCCTATTTTGCTATATTATCAGCAATGCCACACCTTTTAAATCAGCTTAGGTATTCCATTGGTGGTATTTTTAGTACATTGTTCGAAGCAATGCTGGAATATTTTCTGAAGTCTATTTCCTTTTTACAGTGTGAACTATAAGAATAGTAAAAATATATTCACACTGTAAAACTTTCTTAATTATTTTGGAGTAGTCAATAAAATGTCATCAATTTTCTGAATTATATTTCAGCTTACATTTGGTCACCATTGATGGTCATGATAATAATACTTTCACTCACAGTTACTAAAACTTTTTATTCATGATAGATGCTGAATGCCCATCTATTGATTTACTTCATGATAGATATTGAATGTCATACTATTTGTGTAATTAATTTGAACAACGATAACTTTGTAATTAATTTATAATAAAACACTTACTTCTATAACAATATTTCTTTCTGCTTGCCATTTTGCTATAAAATATTTATCAAAAATAGTGATATGATATTTGAGGTTATTTTGAAGCTAACTATGTCTAAATTATGTAGAGTATACCTAAGTTACTTCAGGATACAATGTTATTAAATACATGATAAATATATATTTAGTTATGAGAGGTGAAATTAATATTTTTTTAACCCTTTGATGTTGACTGTATGATATTTTACATAGTAGAAATTATGGGTTCTGTTTAAAGAAAACTGTAAGAAATGCTTAAACATGATATGGGGTTTTTAAGGTAGCAGTTTCAGATTTATAACCTGAGACATTATTGACCACAATGCCTATACAGTGTGATGTAGCCACTGATCACTTAAGTAATGATTTAAATTTATGATCTCTTCCCTGCACTTTGTTACACTGAAACAGTAGTATAATGAAAAAAATGTTATTCTTTCATATGAAAATGTTTTTGACATTTACATATCATATATTTTGGTTTATAACAGGCACCTATAATTTCAAACTACTTTTTTTTATTTTTAAGTACATTTGCCGTATAGTGCGCATCTTTTCACCAAATTTGTCATGTCAGTCTAGAAATAGTGTGTGAGTGGATAATAAAAGCATGGAATGAGATTCAAAAGCCTTTTAAAAATATAGTATATCTAATAATCTAGATTGAACAGAAGATAATCATTTATTTATGGATCAGAACATGATGGTGATGATGATATAGAATGATATATATGAGATGGTGAAGATGATATAGAATTTGATAATATGCCTGAAGATATAACAGAAGATAAATATGACAAACTTTTCATGTTATCTGATAATGAAAATTTTTATGTTGATAAGGTATGTCATTTTTTTAAAATAAACAACATTTAGGTACATGTAGAAATCTAATTTTAAATTTATAATTTTTATATCCAGCATATAACATGCACCTGTAAATTTCCTGTAAAATAAAGTGTGCATTATATGTCCGAATATACAATACTTAAAAGAAAAAAGACAGGAAATTCTTTAAGTAGTGTTGTATTCTAATAGTATGTTTAGATATCACTGCAATAAATCATGATAGAATGTTACAAAGCTTACAAATTTCAGCTGCCTATTTTTTGCAAAACATCTAATGCACTACATTTTCCCTGCTTCTATGTGCCAGAAGAAATTTTAAAATTGAAGAAAAACTAAGAATTAATTAAATGTAGATGAAATATTTCCCCTTTTTTTATGAACTGACTGTTCCACTTTTTGCATATTAATGTGTTTTTCTCCTACCAATATAAAATTTTCCATGATAGTAATAAGAAACTCCAAAATTTTATAATGATTCCCCCCCCCTCACGATATATTTCATTAAAAACAACCCAGACATGCACAACCAATATTATTAGCAGTTTTCTAAAAAATCATATTTAACTATTTTGCAAATCTTTAATTTATGTCACTGTTTTTTCATTTCATTTATTTAAGTTTGCTTTTTGGTCTGCTTATAAACATCTTCTGCAATGTACATTCATTAATTACAACTTTTTTATGTATTGGTGAATCATGATTTCTATTTTTGGTTCATTTATGGTTTGTGTTTGTTAGCTTTATGTATTGTAAAAACTAGCCTTTTTAAAGGCATGTAATAATGCTTTACTTTGATTTGGTTTCTGATTAACTGTGGGATGTATTTCCATGATTTGATTACAGTTCCAACAGCATCATAAAGAATTTTTTCCTACAAGTTCTATAAGAAGGAAACATTTATTGTAACTCTGCGCTACTTTATTATAATTAATAGTTTTAGCAATTTTTTTTAAACATTCTCTTTTTTAAATCATTCTGAAATTAGTTCAATATAAATGAAAGATATATATTTTTATATGTATCTTTCATTGATATTGAAATACATATTTTTATGTATTAACAGGTTTTATTAAAAAAAAGTTAGCTTTCTATTCTAAAATCAAAACATAAAAAAATGCTGCTTTATTGGAACAATATCCCTATAATACATTTATATTAGCTATTCTATTCTAAAATCAAAACATATATCAAGTATTTTATGCTGCTTTATTGGAACAAATATCCCTTATATAACATTTATATATAAGGCATATACAAATATAATATAACATTTATTCAGTAAAACCATGGCAGCTACACCGTAAATCATAATCACTTTTATGATCATTTACTATACATGTAGCCAAAGTATTTTTTGTTATTGTTTAAGTGATAGTATGTCTCATACTTTTAACAACAAATGTTTGAAATAAGATTAATTTCTATGTGTTATCACCTATTTTGAAGGAAAAACGTCTATATGGTGAATTTTAGCTAAAATTACAGTTTTGGGAGGCCTTGTACACAGTTGATTGGTTATAAGTTATTCTGAAGCAAATATAAACTGAGAGAATCAAAAGGATTCAGGGTTAAAATTTTTATTTTTATTTTGTCATACTTTTTCATTTAAAAATTTAATTTCTTAATAATTTGTAATAATCTCTGTATTTGTAGGAAAAGAAAGAAAAATCAGATGAATCCTCTAAAGAAGATGGTGATGATAAATATACCGAGACTAAACGGGATAGGAGAAAGGATTCATCTGATGATGAAAGACAAAAGAAATTGTATGGAAAACGTTCTGTCCGAGCTAGACGAAATGTTAACTATCAGTTTAAGGAATATGATGAATTGATTGCATCCGCTATACAAGAAGAAATGTTAGGAGTAAAATGTAAGTATATCTTTAATTGGCTAAACAATATTTTAGTATTTGATAAATACCTCTGAATTCAAGGATTTGAGAACTGAGATTGTGAGTGAAAATTCAAATTAAGTAGCTGAAAATTAAACATTGTTAAATGTAAAATTTTGAGCCTTTCCATTTGTAGTTTTTGATTTTCTCTGAAATGTTTCATGATGTTGCTACTAAATACTGGTACAGTGGAATATTTAGATCATGTTTCGTTCCATAAATAAATTATCTGAACCAAAAATGTTTCAGATGATGAAATAAGCCCCAAGTTATGAGCACCCAAGCTGTAAAAAAATTACTTTTAAAGGTGTTTTGGAATAACTTCGAATTAACACCCAGGATCTTTCCTATGCTCTTCATTTTCTGTCTCTTAAATTTAATTATTTTCCATTGGTTTTTGTTTTATAAACTTGGGCACAAAGTTTTGTTGTTAATTTAAATAGGTGATTGTCTGTAGTCCAGGAATGGATTCACCCATTTTATTTGTATGAAAAAATAGTTTCGGTTTACTAATATTTCAGATGACAAATACCTTCATGACCTAAGGTTTCACTGTAACTCGAATTGGATTCAAATTCTAGTGAATGGGCTAGATGACACGAATGTTTTCATGACTTTCTTCGGGATAATTAACATGATTACAAGGCACTTTTCATTCATTGTAATAGCATCCTTACCTTTAAGCAAATAACCTTTGCCTGCTTTACCATACTTAACAATAACAGTTTCATCTTTGTATTGTTGTGTGTGTACGGGTTCATAAGAGATTGAATGCACAAGTCTAATAAAAGGTTAATAAAATTTATTCTTATAAAGAAAAATGTATAACAGAACACTGGAATTTTCGTCATTTCGTGAGGTATTTTCCTGAGATATATTCGTACAAGTGTTCGCAATATCACACAGTAATAATCAGTATTTATCGTTCAAACTACTAAAACGCTAAATAGAATGTAATCCACAGCGCAGTTAGAAAGATAATCTGATCAACAATAACAGCAGCAGCTAACTAAACAAATGAGCTGAGATGTTCTCTGTCTGGCTTTTTGTAGCTTTCAATCGGTCGTGAGAGCTTTGTAGTAATTTCTATGCTTCTCGAGATGTCTGGAAACCAACAAGAGGAAAGGATTATGGTTACAGCTAACAATTGATTCAATTACATTTCTTCAATTTCAATACAAATTACCTAGCTAAACTGTTATTCAATGTTAAAATGCACATGCTCCTAAATTTTTACTTTTCCGGCATATGCTCATGCTCCTAAATTTCTCTTAAAATATGTCACGTGTCACATTGCACAGGGGAATAAAACAATTTTAATTCCACTAACATTATCTATCCAAATACAAAATTCATAACATTATTGTCATACATTTCAACATATTAAGTTTATTAAGGGAAAAAAAATAATGTAAAAACTTTAGAAAATGTACTTTGCCAAATTGTCCAATTCGTAAATATGTTGTTAGCTTTATATTGAACTAGGATTCTAGTAAATAAATTCTGTCATTATAAATATGATACATTTATTTGTGCTTTTAAACTTTTGTTGGCATCTGTGCTCTTTTTTTTTTATTTATTTGTATAGTTTTGTACCTTTAGTTGGCATATGTAGATTCATTAGTTTTCATTTTTTGTATTACTAATAAGTGTGATAGGGTACATCGGCGTATCAGGGATTTTAACAGATTTTTATTTAAACTTGTATTGAGGAAAAATATTGTTACTGAGCTCATGATATCTTCTTGTATTTCAGAAGTGTGTATTTTTAAAGAAATTTTCTTCAGTTATTTTAAAGTTTTCACATAAAGAATTGAAATGAAATTAAGTTGTGTTATATTTTTCTGGGCTACAACTCAAAATAAGTTTTTCTGTTGTCTAATTCTTAGTCATTAATAAAAGCACTCTTTCAATCAAAGCTTTAGTACTAGCTAAAGATTAGACAAATTCAGCTATTCTTTTTGAATATGGCCATATATCACACAATATCAATATAGTATATATATACACAATATCAAATGCCTGGCCATTGACCATCAGGTCATTAGGCAAATATGGCCATATTATGACTCTGCTGAAATAAAAATCTCAAATTACTGCCCATCAAATTTTGTTTGAAGTTTAATCATGTGTTGTCTTCCCCTCATGTGTTCAGTTTGTACATTGTTTTAAATTAATGTTCCTTGTAAGAATTTTTTAAGTTATTTATCCCTCTCAGCTGTCTGTATATTGTTTTAAATATGAAATTTATTGAATTAGGCTGCCGACATAAAATCAGATATCCGACTCAAATATTGATACACAAGGTTGAAAATATAACAAAAAATATCTGTCTATGAGAGATCTTGGTACATCTTTTTCTTTTCTTTGTTTACTCTATAAGAAATCATAATTGAGAAATTTAACATTTGAATTGAATTTTTGAATAGGAAATTAAGTTGCATGATTATTTTCAATGTAAGTTGTGTAACTGTTTGAGGCTTATTGTTTTAAATCAACTCTTTGAAAGTTACCAAAATGAACAGTTATTGGTCCCTAATTATATGCAATATTTCACTACAGCACTGCTCGAAAATGCTATTTGTTTTCTTCTTAGTTGCTTTCTGAAGTGGTTCTCATTTTCAGCAACTCTATGGAATGTTAGATGATTACGTTTTCTTAAAACTGCTGTTCTCGGGATTTTGATTGCATTAAAGTACATTTTAACAAGCGTTAGACATCCTGCGAAGTAATCAAAAGGTAAATATTAAAATATAAATTGATATCGCACACAATATTAAACTTTATTAAAATTTAAGAAATATACTTACTCGGAGTCCCTCTCCACATGCTGCTTCCGATTGAATTTTTAATACATATAATACAAAGTAATGATTAATATAACACTCATATTAGTAATGAAAAAACTTATAGGTTTATATACAAGTAGTGCCAACTGTTACAGAATTGTGGTTGTGACAAAAATAGCTGCTGAAAATGGCAAGTTTGAATTGTGAGTGAGCAAAAGTTAAAAAGTTTAACTTCATAAACTGTGCTGATGTCACAATCAATATATTATATTGAATTAAATGTTGCGTTAACATCACATCTGATATGTCAAATAGATTCAAATTGTTTTGCTGATGTCGTGCATGCTACTATGTGAGCTTTGTTAAGTTTCATATGGTACCTGAAGGAATAATTATCTGTATAGGAGTTTGTGCATAATTTTATCAAAAACCATTGCAATAAGTATATTTGCCAAGAAGTAAGTTACTTTCAAAGAAGCAAAAAGTTCTCCAAAAATAGAAACAAAATTGTAATGAAAGTGTAACGACTTTACTTGCTCCAAAATTACCCCCAAAAAATTTTTAAAAAAATAATAATAATAAAATTTAAAAAAATCAGCATATCATGTGTTATATTGTGTTCAATTGTAATATTTCAGTTATGGAAGGTGATAGTGACGATTTACAAAATGCACTGTTTGTATTATTAGCTGATACAGGATGAGTTTAGAAAAGTTGTACCCCATTTTCATTTCATAACTATAACAGATAGCCAAGGGTAAATTGATCATTATTGTTATAGTCTACTGATAATTCAGTGGAAGGAGTTTTCTGTGTCTTGTGCAATGATTTTACTCATCAACATATGCTTTGAGAAAATGATGTCTCCTTCACTTGTGACAATACAAACAGCCATGGTGGTTGTTATAGCTTTCTTTATATTAGCTTCAGCCTTCATTACTTCTGCAAGGTTTTCCTTGACATTTTCTTAACTTAGGTGCTCAAGATGTCTGAAGTCAGTTCATGGATTTAAATGTTAAACAGCTTTTGATGCAGTTTTATTGTTTCCTTCAGAAAGCTCAAAATATCTGAGCACTTGTTAGTTAACCCTTTGAGAGTTCTTAACAGGATAAATGAATAATTTGGAGTAGAGAGAATTCTGTCGAATTTTTATCGTTAACATTTTGCCACATGGTGCAATCTCTGCGAGTCTTAAATTATAAAAATTTTACCACCTTTATAATTTCTGTTGCCCATTATCTTCCTTAAACTGTAAATATTTTGCTGCCCTTAAAACACATTTGGTGCATCAGCCCTGGATTGGATCCATAGAGCATCTCTTTTCTGATGAAAATACTGATTTTACAATTTATGGTTTATTAATATTAAGTTACAGATAGAAAATTCTGTGTGTAAACTTTGCTGTCTTTTCTTTAGTACCCTTCTATTTTATGTTTCTAGTAACGTGCATTTCTTTCCCTAATAAAATTTGTTAAACATACAGTTATTAAATTTATTACAAATTTTTTAATTTATTAAAATTATTAAAATTTAATGTCGACTTTCATAATAGTAAAAACCAGACAGATGATTCTGAAACTAGAGTTTACATTTTGGAAAAAGCCTTTGTAGATTTCTATTAGCCTAACTGCCATAATGAAAGTTCATCAAGATTTCAGAATATGCCAGACTCTGGCAACCTTGTACATAATAATTTTTTTATTTATTTATATACTTTAACACTTAATTGTTCTTGCTCGATAATGATCATACAGGTGTGCAATGCAGAGTTTAGAACCATATTTAATAATTTAAATTTGTATTTGGAATTGCCAAAATGTGTTTTCTTTTGGTATGTTGATAATATTTGCTGACTTAAAATAAATATCGATTTTTTTTACGTCACCAGAATTGGCAACTTGTAATCCAATAAGTAACTTTTACCAAATTGAATGATAACATATATCATCTTTCTTTTTCTTCTGTAAAAAATCAGGAAATTGTGCCAAGAGGCCAGCACTGTTATATAAGTAGTGAAAGTTAAAGCTTCACGGATAAGTCAGTTTCATTCCAGCAAAGGAGCGTTTTAAAAAGCGGTTTCATGATGTTTTCAAGCAAAAAGCCCATCAAAAGTGAATTCTGAAGCAGGTGAATTCTTTTTGTATTCCATACATAATAAATCATCTTAAAATTCTTAAATTCTTCTTAAATATCTTTCTTGTTGATGTTGATCAATTAAAAACTGAATTTGCAGATGAGAACGTTTTTGCTTACAGCCGAAATAAATTTAGGTTTTAGGCTTATGTTTGTATTAATGCAAACCTATCTTAGAGCAATTCATTATTAGGCATTAGATAATGTATTTAATTGTCATATTTGTGCATATGAAAGGAAGAAAACGGCTAGAATGTTTTTTTTAATGCCTAATTTTTTTCAATAACAAGGTATTTTATTTAGTGTGGAAGTGAAATTAATAATCAGGACTCTCCAGATGTTTTATTATGCATGGAGGGAGAATCAAATATGCATGCGTAAAGCCTACAAGAAAAAACATTGTTCGTGGTTTTGAGGTCCGGATTTTAGATCATTCCGGATAATGGACGTCCAGATTTCAGACTTTGTTCTGTACTTTACTTGAAGCTCTGATCAAACTTTCGTAAAAAAATATATGAGAAGATAATCCAAATCTTCTCAAATTTGATATTTAAAATGAGTATGTGATTGAAAACAACATATCACATTTATAAGCATTAAATATGTTCATGGAATTATGCTAAATATAGCAAGAATAAGTTTATAATGAAGACAAGCTCTCATTATGAAGCAATTAAATGTGTTAACCCTAATTGCCAATTCTGTGTTCTTTTCACTTTTATATTGAATCAGTAAGAAAAGTTATCACTGATGTCATAAACTGAGAAAAGACTGCAAAAGAAATGCAAGGCAACACTTATACTGTATCTGGAATTCTAAAGATATTATGCTTTTAAAAATGTCATTATTGCTATGTTAAGATTGTTAATTTTATGATCGTCTTGAATCTGAAAAACTGTATGACCAGAAGATATATTATTGATTTATTATGTTTCAAATCAAAGCAGGAAAACTCACATGTGCATGATTATGTATATAGTTATTGTCCATTGTGCGGGAGTATATTAAATAGAATAATAAAAAGTGAATAGTATTTAGAATTAAACATTGAGCCATGAAATTTATAAACAAATTAGATTTTATTTACAAGCAATCAACCAAAAGTGATAGTTTATTTAAAGGTCTTGCTATTCTGCTAATTCCATGTCTTAACATGAAATTGGTAGGAGATCACCTGATGGCCACATGAGATTTTTCTAATCTTTTTCTTTCATCAAGTACTTTTTCTTTTATT